TTGTTGTGATCCCACTTGTTATTTACTGGAATCTCTTGCGCTTCTTACTGTTTTACACTATCAAGCGATCTAACGTTGGTCGATCGACAGCAACTGGCGAATTGGTTTAACCGGCCTTCACAATAATCACCAAATCTCGAATGTTTCTGAAAGATCTGGTTCTTGATCGTGATCGCAGAAATTCCAGGCGTCTAGTATCCGCATCACATCATGACCGAAGGCGTACCTGAACATGGCTAACTGATATGGCATAGGGTATTCATCCAACTCGATCAGTGTCGCAAAGTTCATCCACTTCGCTCTCCGCAGGCGCCAGTTTTCGGGCAGCGTACCCTCCATCATCCATAATGGAGTCGGCATTGCTACAAACGGCTGCTAGCCAAAGCCAAGCTGCTGATTGCTCATCGGTTTCTTTTCTTCTGTTGCGTGTATGGTTCTGCCAACCTCGTCAAGAAAAACAAGACACCGGCTCAGCTCAAAATCGTCCCATTCACAAGTCAGGTTGTGTACAACTAGGTGTGATTTTAAAAACTCACCCGCCCACTCGATCGATCACCTAATCAACCGCACTGAGGCAGCCCATTCTCTTCGCTCAGGTTTCAGCATCAATCACATCCGCCTCTCCTTTAGATTCCTCCTTCAACTCCGATCTCATACGAAATGTATATAATATTTAACATTATATTACTTGCTTTTGAATTGCTTGTGATTTTGTAGTATTCTCTTTTTATATGACGGCATACCAGCTGAGGTGTGTTTCTCACCCTCAGTTAACGTGTATTGATGATGCTGATGATCCTCTTCCTTCTTGATTCGATTCTCTTTTCATTTAACCTCGGAAGCGAACCAACTACTGGTTTCCTCGACGGAGCTGTGCGCTGCCGAACGCGTCCCTAGTTGCGGAACGGGGAACGCCTCCCTTGCGAAGGTTCCTGTGAATAAGTCTTGGCTGTTCGCAGCGGATATTAATAAGCAGTCGTTGACAATCATCGATAGTGTCCTGGAATGTGCGGGATTCATGACCGGTCACCTGGCTTCTTTACTAAATACCACAAGAGCTCGTAAGATGCTTTATCAGGACCACTCCTGCGACCAGATGTGAGTATCCAGCGGAGAACGGACGAACAACCGCTATTTTCACCGGCTTCTACGGAGGCGTGTGAGCCATTTGGATATAGTCGCCCTTCCTATTCGCCGGCTAGTTCGGTTGTCCATACTGCTTCACTCGGGCTCCTTGGGTGTCCTGAGTAGTCTGTTCTTAGTCGAAAGCCGTGTTATCTTCAACGTAGCAGCCGGCTCCCAATCGTCTTCGATATACGCCAATCGCCGCGCTGTCTTGTGGATCGGGTCTTTATGACCGAAGGCTGCGGGCGGGGTCTTTTAAGACAACTCTCTTCTGTATAGGCAGCCAAGAGGCTCCATGCCCACACCATTTATGATCCGACTTTTCAACGACTCTCCGCTCTTTCTCTCTCTCTGCTCTCTGGCAATGCTACTTGAACATGCTATATCGCGCTCTACTGCACCACCGTTCAGTTACTTTATTCTACGTTATTCAACTCCCCATTTTCAGTAATTCTCTTCCGTTTCCGAGTCCATAATGGTTTTTATAACATTGGTCTGTTGTGTTTCTGCTGACAGTACGGATAACTGATACATCTATTTGTTTCACGGGCCAGCCATTTCCAACATCGTAAGGCAAAGGTCTTTGTTAAAACCTTTATTGAACATTGGACAACTAGTCTATACTGCCGAATAAGGGGGTCAGACTTATGATTCATAGAAGAGTGACCTAGCTTAAAGTTCCTGGATCCCAGAAACTACTAGATGCTGTCGGCTGCTTAAAACCTGTGCTCAATGGCAGAATTCAAAGTAGAGCATTCCCATTGGAATACGTTGGCACGTTCGCGTGGGCTGTCTCTCATTTGCTAGCGTCAAGTCATACTTCTCCTGGCTGTTTTCGAAAGAACTTGTTTCAAAGTCTACTATCGGCGAGCTCCCCAAGCACCTTCGTGAAAATTGACACGCAACCTCCTTGGGTCCAGTAGCATTCTGATGACGGGCCCCGTATCCCATTAGTCCAGCGTTGATGTCCTATGTTCGGCTTTTCTGGAAATTTTGTGCCAGGTGCATCCGAAGCGAATATCAAGTGATATATTAAAGCTGAGCAGTTGGCTATCTGGCGCTAGCAGTCGGTTACTTGTGGTTCCCGGAATGCTCATTGCTCGCAGCTGACTAGCATGTCTGATTCCAATCCAAGTACTCATTCTGACCTCATAGAATACTTGACCAAGTCCCCTCTGCATTGATCCATTCGCACATTGTAGTTTCCCCATACGTTAGTCTCTGACCAAAACACATCGTCCTCGCTGAATTCGACGCGCTTGCGTTCTGCATCGATGATTGTAGTACTTTTCTATTCAGCGGTTCTTTTTTTACAGGAGAGTACGTCTCGGAAGCAGCAAGGGCTATATGGTATGAGGCTTTCCATTAGTGCTTTTGCTGCCAACAACTGATTTGATACCTGGGGGCTAAGGTCGATCTGTACGCTAGCAGGAAAGCGTCTAGTATTTCCGAACTGCACTCAGTGAGTGCGTAGGCTGAGATTAAAATAGAGTACGTTTGTCGGCTGGACGTTTGCGACGGTGCCTCTTAACAGGATGACTGTTGGTTGGCATCCAGTCGTAGAGCACGATCTCGGCTCTATCACTGAGTGCAATCTCAATACCATCTTGCTCAGATGTAGCAGCCTCGACGTCACCAGCAAGCTGTAGATGAAAAGTGGTATGGGTAGCTTATTGAGGGAAACCGGTATACTATGTTGGAATCCTGGATTCCTGTCTCAGTCAGGCAGCAGACGTCACTTGCAAGCGTCTCCAAAGCACATGCATGTCCATCTTGTCTGATCTGCTCTAAAGTGCATAGATTAAACATTACTAACTTGAATCAAGTTCCACCCGCGTTCCTTATGCACAATAACAGGTGTCATTTCTTCTACTCGACGCGTTATCAACGAACCGTCATCTAATTCAACTTAATTGTGGATGTAGTCAACATTTTGGTGCAGCAGAAGTCGGTGAACAAATGATGTACATCCTTGGAGTAGGTGACCTTAGTAGATACTTCTGCTAAACCTTTTATCGAGACGGCCAATCAGTTCGACGAATCTTCGAGACTAAGGATCGACCCACCGTTTTGTGGAAAATTTCTAATAATCTATTAGCATTTCCTCTTGAAATGCGTTCCTCCTCGAGAGTCGTCGTACTAGCACTGTTTGTCAACTAGTGCAACTGCGAAGCAGCAGAGTCACCGTGATTTCAAGTGACACTTATTACGGTCTGTCGCATGGTGAATGGGACTTATTTCGTAATGACCATATGCACCGCATTCGATTTGGTTGCATCGCATCTTGATATTTTCTGCTTTACTCACATCTTTGGATGACAAATTTTATAACATGTTCTGCGTTTATCGTCGCAATCACTTCTGTCCCATCTCGTGTTCCATTACAGTTAATTCTTCAGTTTGCAGTTCGTGATACACTCGATGGTGCCGGCCTATAGTCGCATATTTTTATACACTAACATTTAACCTCATAATTTGCCCTTTAGGTTGTTACTAGATCAGACATGGTTATCAACGCTATATTTATTGTTAAGGTTCTGAATGCGTGCTTCGATAAGCAATCCGCACAGCTCTGGCATTGTCTTTGGGACCAGGCAACTCTAATGATGCCATTAGCTGCCGGGTTTTATCAGCAACAGATACGGAAGCAGCGGTACGTAAAAGTGTACCCGAGGGTTTCACTGCAAAATAAATTGCGGTACAAATTGTGATTTCGTGTCGTAGTCCACGCGCACAATTTGCACTCCATGGGAATCAACTTTCAATATCTGAGCAGTGATATGTGAGATGACATTATTACTATACTCTAAAGAAGGCAAAGAGGGCCTAGTGTGGGACCTAAATACCTTAAACATGCATTCAAGTTAGTCACAATTACGCCTCGCAGCCAATCCTTGGTGCAAACATAACCGCTACCGCGTGATAATGAGGTGGTATTTGCAACACAGTTTCTTCACGGCCCACACTATACCACCCTTGATAGCCCATATTTTACTAACTACTCAATATCAGTGTCACTTTAGCCATGTTTTCTATTCACGATACAACAACCTACATGCTATTGCTGCTAAACACGTGTTTTGTTCCGCATGTACTTGAGCTTAGAAGTGAACCGGACCGGTTGCACAGTCTAATGACCCACATCATTTGTAACTGGTGAACGAGGTGAATGAATCGAGTGTCGGTTCAGCTCATCTTCACCATGCAATGCAGAACCATTTAAGCTCACTACATCGAGTAACGTGATTCGTCGGAATTTTTGATGAATTGGTTAACTCTTGCTAATCCCGATTGAAGTATGGGAGAGGATTTAGTTTGAGATTTACTTTCGAGGTTGCCTTAGCACTTTGGAATGGCATATGATTAGGTTCCAGGTTTGGCTGAATTACTGGGAGGATCAGCTAGTTTTGTAGGAGGTATTGACTGTTTAACGATCTCATCTCGCACAAAACAGTCTAGCGATCAACGAAGCCCTAGCATTTTGTCTCACTTAAGCTGTCTAAACTTTCAGTATACTAGTTCTACTCCTTCGCACCGGACAACCTTTGTTCATTTTCATTCAAGTTCATCTCTCTTATGTCTACTTTGATTGCTTTTGTTTTCATGTTGACACACGGGATCTTACATGACAATTTGACCCTACCCTAGAAAAGCTCCTACATTCGGACGGCTCATCTTGTGCTCGTTTTTAACTCAGTGAAAGATAGGGTTACATGCATACCTAGAGGCACAATTCTTCCTACTTGTTTCTTGTCCCGTTTGTTATTATCTGACTTTCTTTTTCTAACTTTTCTGGTCGCTATTTTGACAATCTCCGTCATGGGTATCAGGCTGCTTCTTGCTAAATTTATATTTTTCACTCGATGGCCGTTTTAGTCACCTATTGTTTGACACAACGGATGTATCAGTTCCCCATATGGGTCTGCTGTTTTGGAATTTAGTGCCATGAAATCACAGGTTGCCGCTGGATGGAGTAGACTATTTCATTATTGCGTCCAACTATTTCCCTTGGCACATCAGAAATTTGTGAAATTACCCTCACTCGTCATCCGTCGTGGAAACACGTACATTTACTCACAAATCCACAGATATGCTGCAACCACTCTCTTTATGGGATTCTATCACGTTACCAGTCACAAAGCGTATGCATGGTCTCGATTGAATTATCGGCAATGGAAGGCACATCTTGTTTATGCATAAAACTTTTCCATCTGGAATACTATATGAGTAAACCGCTGACAGAAATCGACGTAAGTTACTCGGACCTCCGCGGTGCATATGCTTCAAAGGTTCCCATTATCCGGGTCTACGGCACCACTCCTTCCGGTAAGTTTCCACCTACATGCATTCATCCTTCGCTCGTTTAAGGCCAGAAAGTTTGTGCCAACGTTCACGGATACATGCCTTATTTCTACGTCACTGTTCCTTCCAAGTCTTCTGATTACATTAATGAGGACTTCTTGCGTACATTTTGCGTCAATCTGGAAAAGTATATCCGACCCAAGGCTAAGTCCTTCGCTTTGGATGAGATCATTGTTTACCACGCCAGCTTTGTCACGGGTCGGTACGTTCAGTCCTACATTCACTCTACTTCTTCCGTCGCAGCTCGATCTATGGGTTCACGGATGAGGATAGTGTTTTTCTAAAAGTTTACCTACTCGATCCGTCGCTGTTGGTGGTGTGCGCAGATGTACTTTCTTCTGGTTCTGTTCTAGAAAAACATTTTCAACCCATGGAGACTCACTTACCATTTCTTTTGAAGGTGTCGCTCAGTGTTGTGAATTTACGACATTATTTACAGTTCTGCATCGATTATGATCTTTATGGGATGAATTTTATGCAAGTAAAGCACTTCAAAGTTAGAAGTAGATTTTTTATCTTTCCTTTATCCACTCACATCTTTGAAGGCAACCAAGATGTTTATCTCGACGCCTTTATCTCCACTGCGCCAGTTGATAATTATTGCTTACCACAACTTCTGCCAAGGTGATTCCACTTTTTGTTCAACTACCCTGTTTTTCTATAGTCTGGAAATTTCGGAACTCTAGCGTCATTTGTCTTGTATCTCTTTCGTTGTTAAACTGAAACAAACTATCTCCTCACTAGCGTTATACTGCTAAACCTCTGCTTGATCTGATTTTTATTGATCTGTGGAAACCGGTTTCCTGATTACATGCTGTTTATAGGTTGGCCGTCTCTACTAACGAGTTGGACGGATGTGTTTGTTAAATTACAGCTACTTTGCGTGATCGTAGTATCATTGCTACTGACCTTAGAACCTAGGCTAACTTTGTATCACTGGTATGCTTCACAGGAATAATTATTATCTAGAGCACTGCTTCATGTCGGAAAGAGGCTCTAACAGTTCAGATGTTCGGTCAGTATGTGGTGTCACGGGTCACCGACGGTCTTTCGTTCAACTCGACCACTTGATTCGTCCAATTCCTTACACTTTTGATGTCAGTCCCAGGATTTCTCATGAATTTGCGGTAGGTTAGCAATATCCTTTGAATCTAAGTTGACTTCGGACTGTTTTGGTCACCCCACAGTACCGGTTTATCGCACAGCTTCGAAAGGGAGCGTTTCGTCACAGGTGTTTGTGGCCAAGCACTTTTCTACCTCAGGATTACTGCGGGTAGCTTTCGACACGAACCACATGCCTATTCTAAGATCTCAGACCCGTTGATTAGTCTGTTATCTGGTCAGGTATTCTGTCTGATTTGAATACTAACATTTCTGCTAACCATGAATTATCTTTGGGTGGGTTCTGTTCTTTCCTTTCATGATCCACACTCCCTAATTAAATAAACTCCAGCTTATTTCTCGTTTGCTTTGGCCTGCAGATGTCGTTTAAAACCTTACAGATTGTTCTTCTCCTTAAGTATTTTCCGTCTTACTCACTTAATCTTTACGTGTTATCTTACCGGCTCGTGGCCGAAAGGACGTGTCTGCCTTGCAGCACGGAGGTCTCAAGTCCTACCCTTCATGGGGACCTGGGGCACCGCATTATTCCTGGCCCACGCGCGACTGGTGGTGGTTGCGTGGTAGCAAAGCGCCGGTACAGTGTGCCGGCTTACTGCTGATTCCTTGCCCCCTAGTTGTCCTAATTGTTTTCCGAATGGTTTTGAGCAGGGCCTCAATTCTTTAATACCAACATTGTAACCGAGTTCAAACCTTAGGTCGTTACGCAAGAAGCCATTGCATACACCACTCTATATTCCGAAACTGTTCTCCCTCGTTTCGTCTCGGTTCCTTTTAGAGAACAACTTTTACCTTCAGATCTGGCCCCCAGATACACAAGTACAGGAATGGAGTTTGATATCGCCGCTTGCGATATTCTCAGTAAAGATACATCTCAAGGTAATGCTTGTGATCTATCTGTTGGTGTATGCGCCCCATGATTTCACTGGAAAATAAACCTATTCCAGTTTGCTTTGCACCTCTCCCCAATATGGAATCATTGTAGCCGTTCATTTATCTGACTTTACTTGAGATTAACTTACTGTTACTACATAGACTAGCCGCGAACTATATATATATATATATATATATATATATATATATATATATATATATATATATATATATCTATAACACTTTATTTCGTTTGTTCTGCGCACCTGATAATCTCCTAACTTACACACGTCGCTCATGCAAATTGTGGTAAACTTGCATAATTTTCTCGCGTGGTATTTTTAAATAAATTTCGGACATTTTGTACTTATCGCGGATTCACTTATTACCAATTTCTTCCATATGCTCATTTAGCGAGTATTTATGTCGTCATATGGGTTTACTTTATTCGATATCGGCATTTTGAGTGATTGACTGTTGTTTGACATCCCAGGTGTGGCTGCGCTTGATGTGCATATTGGCAAGGTACATACCTGTCTATTACCCACTACCTCGTCCATCTGGCTCCAGAAGACAGTTGTTCGTTGCTAGAGGGGACAGGGTGCACGGTCCTTGTGGCCGTCCTAGACTCGAAGAATGGTTTCATGCACTCAGTGTGCAGCAAACTGTGGTCCAGCCACCGCCTTTTGTGCACTTGATTCCCCAAATGCAGCGTGCTTGTGTTTGCCTGTGAAGGAGTGTAAGCCGACTCCGTCGATGAAACGTGGCTCCCATCGACATGCCTCCCGGTCTTATTCCTTCGGGTTTACACTGGATTTGGGGTGTGTGGATGGAACTGTGGGTGGTGCAGCACAAGCCACCTATGGTCCCTCTGTAGGCGCGGGCGTCCTGTGGCTGGCCACAGGACTTTCTTCCGCACTTCGGCAACTGCCTTCGTGATCAGATCGCGCCATGCATGCCGATCAACCGCCTTCGATTCCCATGACCTGCAATCAAGATTAGAACGTGATAGGCTCATTTTGATCATGTTCTGGTAAGGTGACTTCGCTTTAACCATGTGCCGTTTATCTGCGCTCTGTTGGCCATGAAGCAGATGTTTCGTTGTTCCGGTCGAATCCATGCGGCGAATATGACCCAGCCACTTCAGGTGTCTCAGCAGAATTATGCAGTCCACTGCGTCGGATCACCTCCTTGCCTGCAACTCGGTCACTCCAGCCGTTGCGCATAATACGGCACAGACGCTGCTGATGGAAGCGCTCCAGATATCGTCCAGGTTTTGCTACCGTATAGGACGGAGAGCACCGTAGACTTATACCTGCAACTTCTTCCAGACAATGAGCTGGTTATTGTTCCTCACACGCCATCCCAGCTTGCCAAAAGCAGCAGCCGCCTTCGATTCACGGCTGCACAGCTCGCTCGTCATCTGCTGGTCGGTTTTTATTACGCTACCCAGGTAGCATAATCTCGTAGTGGTTTCCAACACTTCATCAGCAATCTGGATTTTGGGCAGGCCCACGGACTTCATTTCGCACGCACAGTCGTCAGCAAACAGCGACATACGTATAGTTGTCTCATAGACTAGGGTTCTCGCTTCGAAGCGACAAATGTTCAGCAACCCACTCTCAACACGGTGCTCCACACGAACACCGTAAGCACAAGTGGCATCAAAATCACATCATTACATGAAAACAAAAAATAACCAGGACAAGAGCTAAGACACAGCCTTGCTTCACATCAGAGACAACTACAAATTCATTCGAAGTCTCCACTCAGCTGTACCCTCTCCCACATATCACTGTACAGACACTTAATTAAACATATATATATATATATATATATATATATATATACTTTTTTAACTGCACGTTTTGCAAACAAAATTGAACACGTTGCATCCTAAGCGGAAAATCGCCAATGTGTTAGCAAGAAAGGAGGATGGCGAATGGAGAGGAATGGGCGATGTTCAGGTCACATCATAGTTATGCTAATGCAACCGATCTGTGTAAGCAGCGGGCGATTATGCAACCCCTTCTCGTCATGCGTATCGTTGGCCGGTGGCCGAGTGGTCTGCACGTTTGCTTTGCAACCATAAGGTCACCGGTTCGAATCCGCGTAGGGGTGGGCGTCCTCGCGCGCGACTGGTGGTGGTCGCGTGGCAGCGAAGCGCCGTTACGGCGTATAAGCTGACACATTTAATTTTTTAATTAATTTTTCATGCGTATCGTTCACTTCTTGCAGCAAAATAACAGATGCTCCTCTTATCAGCTGAGGTCTCTGTCACTACTCGTACATGCTAAACCCAGAAAAAAACGTGTTTTCGAAGGTGAAGGTGTCGGCGAGACGCCTCCTGACTAACCTGACGCAATAGCAGACGCTATGTGCGGTCATCCAAGAAAGCGTTGGAATGGTAACCTAACAGGACTGCACGTACTGCGTCCTCAATGACGATGAATCTGACAGAGGCGGCAGTCGGCCACCCCTCCGCCAACTGACCGTCTCTAATAGTACTGTGTACACCTGCTGAATTGCGACTGTCTCGATGCTGTTGACACGGTCTAACTCGTTGTGGCACATTTGAGCGTTATCTTTGGCCTTCTGAAGGCGCTTAAGATCGTCAACACAGAAAGGTGGATCCCATTCTCTCTCAGCCACTGCTACAGCTGCACTGAAGCGCCCTCGGAACGTCGCTCAACGGTCCCTTCAACGAGCTGCAAGACATTGGGAGTTCTCCTCCTTACTTTTTCCTCCACATTTGCGCAGAGTATTAATGCCTTCTCGTCTACAGACATTGAGGATGTTTCTTGCCGTGGTTTTGCTGTTGACGAACACAAGTTTGGCAAGGATCGCTTTCTGTGCCGATGATGTTCACTTGTAACGTCGCCTCCTCGAAAACGCATCTTCTCACCGTTCGCCGTTCATTCCGGTCGTCTTGTGCAGCACAAGGCTAATAAAGCTAGAATGGGTTTGGTGAAGTCATGACCGGCTGCACGGTTTCAGTCGTCGTGCGACTGTATGCGTCCGCCCCCACACTCACACAAAACACACGAAAGTCTTTAGAGATGCAGGAGAAAACTAGGCCACTGTTTTTGATCGTGGCGAACGAAACCCATGACGAGGAGAAGGGGTTGCACAATCGCCCGCTGCTTACACAGTTCGGTTGCATTAGCATAACTATGATGTGACCTGAACATCGCCCATTCGCCTTGCTCCTCATTTCTTGCTAACAGATAACTGATTTCTCTGCTTCGAATGCAATGTTTCCAACTTGATTTGCAATATATCCAGTTTGGTTTGCGAAACTTCCCATGTAAAATGAAAATGATCTTTGTTTATTTTATACTAGTTTCAAACTTAGCACCGAGATGTGGGATGCTCGATGGAAGTGCAGACGTTCTTCCCATCAGCATCTACAATTATTCTCTTCATTCATCGCTTTCGGTGTTCTTATTTGTTGCTCACTTGTCTCTGCCTATTCTCTCGTATTCTTTATTTAATTCACGGGTCTTGTTTCTCTCTTTACAGATCATTTGGATTGGAACCCCGGTCTGGACGATCTCTGGTCGGAGGAGCGTTCCAGGCGGCTGAATAAATCGTGTGACTGTCCTCAACCCAACCTTCCTACTCCGGATGAACTACTTCCACTATCCCGTATGTCACCACTTCTCCCATTTTTGCTAGTTAACAGATCAAATACTGCTCTCGAAGAGCTCCGGTGTTGCTCGATCTTACGTGACTTCTCCATATAAACATAACCGGATTTGGGAATGGACCCTGCACGTAGTGATTGACGGCCGGTACTTTGAATGTATTGTTGGCGGATCTCGATAACTTAGTGAGCAGTGCGTCAGTTACCGACCATCGGTCCAGGGTTCTACTCCCATCTCCGACTGCCTCTAATAGTAAAGTTCAAAAAGCGGTGAAATCAGCCGTGGAGACCGGCGTTTCGGCTTGATGTGCCGTCACGTTATCTCTTAGCACAGTAGTCGTGTGCACCGGTTGTACAGTTTTTCGCGAATACTTCCGAATTATTTGACTGGAGGATCGTGGGTTGAATGAACAGCCAGTCAGTGAGCTATCACACGAAATGAGTAGGTAATTACCTTGGTTTGTCCAGCTTGAACCTGTGTTTATCTCCGTTATGCATGTGGAGCTGCCGAATGATGTGAACATGGGCATGCGCCCGGCACGTTCTAGCTAAATAAGACAAACTGACGGACGAACTCAACGTGCAGTGGTTGACCAACAAAATTCTGCAACACCACCAACCATTGTAACCCTGTTGGTTACAGCCGGCTGCTCAGTTCAGATGCAACAACTTTCAGTTCATCTCCGATATTTTTTTGGTTTTCGCAGGATTACTCCACACATGGCTTTGCTACTCTTTAGTAGCCCTGGTTACTCAGCGTCGACACGCTTCTTTTCAGACTGTGTACCACACTGGTGCGGTCTTATCTTGTGTGTCCCACATGAACTGAGAAGCTGCACCCTGTCAATATTTCACAAATAGACGCAACATCGTCTGTTTCATTTTCGTGTATCTGAACACTATTTGTTTGGGTATGGCTGTGATGCAAGTTATCGCTCGCTTCTTCGACGGCTTTGAACTCCCCACGTTGATGTGGTACTAAGCTTAGATAACCGTCACCTTTCCTGTTTCAAATAGGCCTCATCCCCTCATTGTGTAAGTTTACGCCTCCATTTACCTGTGCAACTTTCTATTCCTACCGCGACTAAATCCAGTGAACCACATCGCATCTATGCTCTTACTATTGATAGTGCTACTGTTGTCCATTTACTAATTCTGCTGCTAGTACGTATCCCTGATTGTGTCCATTGTATGTTTAGGTGAGTATGTTCATGACGTCACGGAAGATGAGACATTTCTTTTTAACCAGTGGAGTGAAATTTGCCAGCAATCGGTGACCCGGCCTGCTGCTATTGACAGTATTTCTTCGACTGGTAAGACCATGGTTCTCTTTTCTGCCTTTGTTTTCTATCGGAACATCGCCTCGTCATTTCTATGCTAGTTATCTACTGTACTAGGCGCCCGTACTATATGCGACGTTCTTCAGCCTCGCTATTCATCGTTTCGCTCCTTCGACATTCCACGATGTGATTACTATACATGCTTATTGACCAAAATACATTGTGAATCCCTGTATTTCGATTAACTTTTGTGTTCAACTTGCTGTAAGCTTCGTATCCCCACACCTTGGAGCAATATCTTATTTTACTTTAGCAAACTCGATACCAATAAAAACTAATCAATACAATTCTGCTTCGGCCACCATTGGTTTCGCCTCGCTCTCCCAGTTTCTACAGACTCCGAGGATATCGTATCACAGTGGTTACAACAAAGTCAGGAAGACGACAGGCGCAGCAAAACCTCTACTCCCTTACCACGAAATGTTTACCTATCACCTCATAATCGTCTGTCGGGCTCAAATGGGTCTCACTTCTTAACTTCCACTCAGTCCGCGTTAACCGCTTCCGCTATACAAAAGTTGCGAAAACTAGCTGCCATCTCAGAAGATGCCGACGCTTCAATCCCAACCTCCATTGACTGGGGTTTTCTGAAAAACACTACTGAGTGGAAGTCATTGGAAATCCTTTCATCCACTCAGAAGCGTAGTTCTGCACAAAAGCAAGGAACAACGACAACGCCTATGATTCGGGTAGGTTTTTAGTCTGACATGCTGCTAGTCTTTTTTCTTTCACTTCCCTGCCGTCTGTGATCCTACCGATTTTGATTCACAGCTGTTTGCTTTGTAAAAAAAATTTCCACATGTTTTGTTGCACACTTCACTAACTCTTTACGCCACATGAAGCGTGGTCTGTTACTCAACCGAGATGCGACTAGATCTTATCGTGGTGCGGCGGTTTAGGTCCCCATTGCGACCCATTGAGTTATACTGGGTGTTGCCCCCGGGCCCCTTGAGAGCTACTCCTACCAGGTTGGTCAATAGTTAGAAGTCAGAGAAACTCAGTCTCCTGGTCCTCCAAGTTGAGGTTTAGAATGAGATAGCGTCCATTTCTGTGAAGCTAAATCATTGCTACCTCCCTACTGCCTTTCGGACAGGCTTTTGAGCCAAAGGCTTTGGATGAGGACCGTAATCGTCCTCCTGTCTAGGTCTGGGCGCCATGGCAGTATCTCAGCCTATGTACAACCATTACTTTTTTAAACTTCCATCATATCCTGCATCGGCCGTCGCGCAGATTATCAGAGGTCGCCTTATCTGCTACATAATGCAGGGCAGATAAGCGAAATCATGCTACTGCGAGCGCTTGCTTTCTTTTCCAACAGTTTCTGTTACTCCCCTTTCAACTCTACTAACCATCCTTCTACACTTTCTAGCTTAATTGACAACGGCCGTAATGCCACTGGAGTCAAGCCATCTGAAGCTCTCTTCCCACAACATCCACAGGACGCCTATCGACAACAGTCCCTTATAAGGCCACCCTGTCCCATTTCCCTGGCGGTGTTCAACAGGCTGTATTCGTACGCACCTTGGACACACGGGGTATTGACGTTTGTTCCGTATTCGAAACTAGAATCAATGACTCTCATTGGGTTGTTGAATTAACTGCGCCCAGCTTGTCGTCTCGCAACTGGTTGTACGCATCAGGAAACGCTGATGCGGCAAGCGCTCGTCAAGCTGGAGTGGACGTTCTCAGCTCCAAAGCTGAGTTATCGTTGGTTGATTAGATTCCCGTGAACAGCCGTTTGTGTTCCGCCCCTTTTGACGACATCAACTAAAGTTAATTCACGAAGTGGTACAAGACGCTGTTTGTTTGTGGCTTCCGCTTATGCTCTCAACGACTGCAGTTTAGATGCTGCCAAGAGCACGTTCTACCACGAACTAAACCCGATACTAGGCAAGGTTACCAGTTCAGATATCATTGTACTTGCAGGGGATATGAATCCACAAGTAGGTCGCCTGTGCTTTTCGGAAGCGCAGTTAGGTAGTACTTATGGGCTTAACTCCGAAAGGACTGACAGCGGCGAGCAACTGTGTGCGGAGCACCAGCTGTTTCTTACACCATGCACTTGTACGTGCTGATCTGCGGGTGCGTTTTGGCGGTCACCCTCGACGACCCTGTGAGCGCATAAAAACCAGCCAACTGGCGAAGTCAGGTATTCTGAATGCTTATCGATGTACGCCGGCATTCGGGTCGAGCAAGTGCTCAATGAATGCATTTAAAGGTCACGACTTAGGAGGTATGGAACTGCTCCCAAGAGAACGACTTCTTGACTTAGAGTATGTTGACGATATTACCCTCATATGTGACAGCTCCCAGATGTGCCAAGCGGCACTGGACCGATTAGCATTGGCTGTCACCCGTTTCGAGCCATGCTTTGCACCCTTCAAGTGCAAAGCGTTCCACCATGATTGGCCTGGACCGCCTCCTGCACTGACCCTTGGTACGGATCAACTAGAAGTCCCCCAAAAGTTCAGCTACCTTGGTAGTTATATCAGCACCATTGGAATTAAAGACGAGGTCACAAACCGTATAGCAAATGCTCGAGGCGCTTCTGCTAGCCCTCTCCACTCTACCTTTCAGGGAGAGTGTACGATGCAGCCGTACGTTCGACTCTACTGTAGGTTTTTTGAAACCTGGCCCCCTAGATCAGCCGACATAAAGAGGCTAGTTACCTTCGGCAACCGGTAGCTTCGCACTTAGGCTCCTATCTGGTGGGAACACCGAGTGAGCAACGATCGTGTTCGACTCCTTGTTTATGACGCATGAAGATGTAGCGAATTGCTCAACATCGTTATTTCACGCACCAGGCTCCGATGGCTGGGCCACGTGTTACGCATGCCAGCCCACCGACTTCCGCGACGTGCGTTGTTTGCGTGCCGGAGGTGCGGATGGAAGAAAAGGTGGTCGAGCGATGACTTGGCCAAGGGGAATGTAGGCCCTTACTTCGAAGTTGGCCTCGGTTGGAGCGTCTCGTCTCCCTGCTTGGGAACCGAAGGACCATGAACACATTTGGTTGGACACACTTGTTGACATGGCTAGGAGCAGACAGTGGCGTTTGTGTTGTGAGTTCCTTTGCCCATCCCCCTTCTCTTAGCCTCCCGTCCAACTACGATTTCAATTAATACGCACAACAGTTGGCTGTTAGCTCTCCGGAACGATGTCCATCCTTTACTGAGGACTCAGCTGGCATGCCTCTCTTTCATCTTTTCTTTTCTATTACGGCGCCATATTTGTGTTTTCCACCTGCAGCTAGCGTGTATAATGATGATGATAATGTTGTTGTTGTTTCTTAATATCACCGCTTTTAGATACAGTGGCCACCGAAGTGTCACTTGGCGTCCACCTATAGCTGACTATAGATGGATCCAGATAGATCACATAGCCATAAGTTACAGGTGGCTTGGTTCCATCCTGGATTGCCGCTCGTAGTGCAATACTTGCGTCAACTCTGATCATGCTTTGGTACGCTTTCGTTTTTCCTTTTAACTTTGCCACGAGGCGCACCAAGCATTTTCCCCGATTGGCAACTGGGAAATTGTCTCAGCCCTCGGTCAGGCAAGCCTGAGAGGGTGCATTGCGTACCGAACTTTCGCTGTCTTGTCTAATGACACTGAGCTTCAGTGTAATAGGACCACGGTCGCCATGCACGACGCAGATGCGTCTGCATGCAGTACTATCAATCGTTACCGCACCGATCACTGTATATTCGAGAGGTCGGTGAACCTGTTGAAACCCAGAAGAAACCTCCCTGCTGTCTCTGAGCACATTGTGACCAGGCGGACTATCAGGTGATAACTAAGGCAGAGTCTGCGTGCTGACAAAGAAGCCTGGTGCACCAGTCGGACTCAAGAACTGGAGGAGGCAGGAGCAGTAGGCAATTACCGCAATCTTTTCCAGTTGATTCGCACCACTGGTCCCAGGAAACCAGGCGTCAGTGAGACAATCAGAGACAGTGAGGGTCCACTGATTCACAATAGGGAGCACCCTATGGCTCATTGGGCGGAGCGCTTTCAAGATCAGTTTAGTTGACTCCCTGCTTCCGGATGCAGGATGAGCCGTGAACGGTTTGCTTAGAGGCTTCCTTGGAGACTGAGATCCGAAAAGCGATCACAGCCCCCAATCGTTTTCATGCCGCTGGTCGGAATTCCCTCCCACCTGCACTGTTTGAGGATGGAAGTGAGGTCATCTGCAAAGCACTTGTTTTCCTGTTCCAACATATTTGGAAGAGACCGTCACGGATAACTGAAGTGGATCGATTATGGTGGCAATATACAAGAAGGGCAGTCGCACAGACTGTTTAACCACAGGGGTATTAGCCTAACCCCAGTGGTGACAAAAGTACTGTCTTCGATTCTCGTTTGTCGCCTCACTGTGGAACGGGAATCTCGGATTAGGGAAGAGCAGACAGGTTTCCGCCCTGGACGTGGCTGTATAGACCATATATTCACTTTGCGGCAAGTGCTAGAGCAGCGCCACGCAGACCGACAATAGCTGTGTTCCTTGATTTCAAGAGTGCGTTCGATTCAGTCGATCGATGCATTCTGTTCGCGATAATTGTGCGGAAAGGTGTTCCCATTAAATATGTGGACAGTTTACGTGCTCTGTACTGGAAGACTACAGGCCGCGTCACGGTGACCTGTCGGATATGTTTCTATTAACAAGTGACGTTCGTCAGGAATGTCCGATTTCCCCATTTTTGTTCATTTTCGTCGTGGACTCCATCATGAAGTGTTCCGGTGCGGAGTCTTACAATGCAGATGTATTGCTTAGTAAATGACTGGTTGATCTTGATCACGCGGTCGATATCGTCTTGCTGTTTGACGATATTGGGGTGATCCAATCAACATGAGTAAACTCTCTAGAGTGGTCTCATCATTTGATATGCACAGGTGGCATGCAAAGTGTTGTTCCAAGACCACTAGTCAATTGTTGACCCCTTGGCCATTGATTTCGAGGAACTCGAGGTAGTTACTCTCTATACTTACTTTGGCAGTTACATCCGGAACGATGGGTGCATAGCAACTGAAATCAGTTTCCGTATTGTAAAAGCCACTACTGTCTTTGTGAATTCGCGATATCTGTGGCGTCAACATGGGTTTTCCATTCGTCTAAAAGGCCATGTATACAAGTCCACAGTGAGGGCCATCCTACTGTATGAAAGCGAGACTCGGCCCCTCCGATCTGAGGACCTGCGGCGCCTTCAAGTCTTTGATCATCCTTGTCTGCGGTTCATTTCTGGTGTCGGATGGAACCAGCGTGTCTGCAACGATAATGTGCGTAAGTAGTGCTAAACTGTGATTTCCAACCTAGTTCTTTAAAACAACAGGTAGCATTTAATAAGTTGCGTCGTCTTGGGCACGTGCTACAAATTCCTGCTCATGGCTTACCTCGGAGGGCGTTGTTTTGTCTGCCAGATGCAGGGTGGCGCATGGCCCTAGGTTGACAAAAAATTAACTTGGCAACGGAAAATGAAGTCACTGCCAACCAAACTGGTGCAGTCGGTCTGTCTCGCCTTCCAGACTGGAGTCTACGTGACTGTTCTTATGCTTGACCCGAGGTGTTAAAATGCCTAGCTCGCGATCGACACCAGTAGCGCCTCTGCTGTCGTCTCCTGTTTAAACTATGTTTGATGCTGAGTTATCTGCGGGGTAATGGCTGATTATGTCGAGGGGCAGTGAAAGCCTCAAGCAATCTGTCTCGCTGATACTGCCTTAACTTTCCACGATAGCCAGGTGCTTGTGATGGTATGTTGCTGACAAGGTATAGGGGCCTTGACCTTGAGTGTTTGCTTAGGGAATCTAGGTTTTCCGACAAGTCCATGTTCTTTCCCTCATTATTCTACGTACCGTAGTAAGTTATGGTTGTATGGCAGCGAAGCATCAGTTCTACTGGGTGATGTACTGCGGTCGATGTTGATTTATGGGAGTAAATTGGTTAATTTGACTCTGCCTCGCGGATAGCTGTTTTTTTTAAGTTTTTGATAACAAAAGTAGAGGTAATACGCAACAGAAACACATACCTTATGAGTCATTTTTAATATACAGAAGGCGAAGCCATCAGTTGGAGTGAATACAAGTCAGAACGCCGAGACTGAATGCATGGCCACCGCTGGGGTAGTGACTGCGCCATCTCCGAGGGGGGGGGGACATCTAACCACTGGCTTGGCGGACCCCGAGGCGACCATCCAGGAATACGATGGACACCAACCTGAGTGTCAACATGTCTATGATTGTCATGGACTGACCACCTCTGGGTTTCGTTTAACGGTACCTTTTTGACATTCAATACACGCAGATGCAACCAGCTTGCAGATTTGCTTAGAACCTCAGCTGATTTACACGCTTCGCGTTTAATAGGCGCTAGGGAGTCTGTTGCTGGACGCCGAATGGTGAAACGCGATGCTATCCATTCGTGGCTCATACCAAATGTCGGCAACATTTGAGGAATGAATAAACACTTCGATAGTCACAGTTACTCCGTCCCTGGAGTCAACGCGCAATGACCAGAGCTCTTATTCCTATAATGAGTTGTTGTAAACCTTTGCCTTAACCCATAAGTTTTCCTAAGTGCCTTTAGGTCTGGAATGCCGCACGTGCCTTCCCCTATTTTTCACGCAATAACCCCTTTTGTGATGTAGAACCAGTTATTGGTTCAGTTGGTAGTCCGTTCAGTTCAGTTGGTTCAGTTGGTAGTCAGAGTTTTCACTGACCCCAGCATTTTTGCTACAAACGTTTCTTGTGCGAACAATCCGAACTCAGACCGACGGCTCGTCTGCGCAGACGATCAGTCACGCACCCGACTTCGCGACACACACTCACTAGCGCTTTTCATCGCATCGCACCGCTCTGCTCTGCTCCGCTCCGCTCCATTACACAATAGCGCATTGATGATATCACCTCGGGTGATAATGAAACGTTTGCAACAAAACTACCGAGCTCAGCGAACACTCCGACCACTAACCTCTTTGGTGTGTACGATCACCAGAAGCTATCTAAATCAATTGATCCATCGGCCACTTCGAGCGACTGTTCAGTGCTGATGAGAAGTGTTGATGTGCCCGTTCCGTATTGTTAGGCTACTGTTCCATTTGTATATGTGATCCGCATGCCGTAGCATGCAGCTCTATTCGTCAGTCTAGTCTGCAGCACTTGCATATCATCCTGGCCCAGCTTGGGAAGGGTCATATCGTCTACGCACTATATGTTTAACAATTGATTGCGCAATAGTACGTTTACCTCAGAATACGTAGCAGAAGCTAGTGCAGGGTCACTAATGAAGATGTGGGTCAAAACATTCTAGAGCGATGAAGAAGCATCGTTTATTAAACCTCTGCTTATTGTGGCGTGTTCAGCGAATAGTTTCTTGTAGTCTTGGGTGTTGTGTCGTTGAGTTTTGCACCAAAACGAAAATTTTCCGGCACGCCCTTCGTGCCTTTGAACTCGATAAAAGCAACGTCAACCGGTCGGATCAAAAGTAGCTTTTCTCAGAAAGATTACAATCCGGATCTGTTCAGATCCGTGCCTTCTGCCTTGTTACTAGTAAAGAGTCGAAGCGCAGTCGATCCACCCTCTACCTGACCGGAATCAAGTCTAACGAAGGTCAGCGAGCCACTACAACACGATGCATGTGAGTGATCTGAAAGCAAACGAGACCAGGCCAATACCACGATTATTTCCATGAAGTTTCCCTTAATTCTTTTCGACTTGCACATCATCGCTCAGAGAGCCCTTCTCTCATGTTCAGAGATCGTCGAATAGAGTGGCCAGACTATTAATGCTTTGCCACCTATCTTCAACTTTTAACACGAGTACGTTTTATCTGCTCATAACTGTTACCTGTTACACCTGTTACACATATCAGCTGAAGGGGTTTCTACCACGTATTCAACAGCCATTAGAGGAGTCTCGAGAGCTGACCACTACCTGACAATGTTTCGAGCGAGTCTTGCTTCTCCTTCCGCCTTCCATTCCCTAGTCTTTCATTTCATCCCGTTCATGATTCCAAGCGACGGAGGATACCGTATTCAATTCGATTGCCAACGTAGCTGCAATGTAGGCTTTACAAAACCGATTTGTATTCTAACACCTTCCGAAATTATGAATTCGCAGCCGATCCTAGACTCTTTCCAAGATATTGGACAATCTGGTTTCCTTGAATTGCTGTCGATTAAAATCCACAGTATGGCAACAAGAAAGGGCGCTGTTTCACAGTTGTTTCCTCGTTACAATGTCGACAAAACTCACAGCATGTAGCCGCTTCTGACTTTGGCCAGTAGTAATTCAACTCTCTTATCTCTCCATTTATTTTCCCTATTGACGATATTACATGAAAATCTTTTGTATTTCTTTGTGAATGTCTACTGAGGAAAGGTGTGCCCGAGCAATATGTAAATGTCATAAGAGTGCTGTACACGCATAGTTCGGGCAGAGTGAGGGTTTTCGGCAAACTTTCGCCGCACGTCAATATTTCCAGCGGTGTGGAACAAGGTCGCTCGCTGCCACCTTTAACTTCGCCATTGGTGAGGTAATGGAGACCCGTTCACTGGATGCCACCTGCAAGGCGGGGAGCTGCTCCCAGATGATCGAATCCTTGACTTGGAGTACGCGGACGACATTGCCCTTATGTGTGACGGCTTTCAAACGTGCTAAATGTCACTGGGCAAATTAGCATTGACTGCCATTCGTTTCGGGATGTTCTTTGCACCGGTGGTTGAGTGGTCTGTGCGCCTGGTTTGCAACCATGTCACCAGTTCTCATCCGCTTAGGGGTGGGCGTCCTTGCGGTATACTCAGCTCGCGCGCGACTGGTAATGGTCACGTTGCAGCGGAGCGCCGTTACGGCGTACAGCTGACACAACTGCAAACTCCTTCTCCACGACTGGCAGGGACCCACTCCTGCGCCGACCCTTGCTGGTGATCAGCTAAAAGTCGTCTAGTAATTCATCTGACCAGCTGTATCAGCGCCAACGAAAGTGAAGATGAGATCACGAACCGCATAGCAAAAGCTCGATGCGCTTTTGCCAATCTCCGCTACCTGTGACACTGGCGTGACATTACTCTCGCTCTAAAGGGCAGGGTTTCCAATGCAGCCGTCCGTTCAACTCTCCTGTACGGTTGCAAAACCTGGTCCATCCAGTCAATAGACTTAAAAAGACCAGGTACCTTCACTCATTGCTGTCCTCGTTGTTTGGCTCATGTCAGATGAGAACACCGCATGCGCGATGGGCAGGAAAGAGTGGCAGGAAGAGTGAGTGAACCGCTATTCATCGTTGTATCACGCAACAAGCTCCGATGGATAGGTCACATGTTGCGCATGCCAGCACAATGACTCGTGCATCGTGCATTGTTTGTGTCCCGGGGTCTGGATGGAAGAAGAGGAAGGAAGGCCAAGCGATGACTTAGTCAAGAGGAATATAGTCCCTCACTTCGAATTTGGCATCGGTTGGTGTTTCCGGACTGCCGAACTGGGGACTGAATGACGATGAACACGTTTGGTTGGATACAACTAGCTGATATAGCGAGGAGCCGACGTCAGTGGCGGTTGTGTCGTGAGTCTCTTTTTCTCTCCCCTTTTCTTTAGCCTCCTCCTCCAACAGCCATCTCAATCCTTATACATAATGTGCTATTTAGCAGTCATTTTTTATAGCTTTTTTGTCTGTATTCTGTAATCACTTATCTTTTTTGTACTGCAGCACATTAGCTGAGGTGTGTTCCTCACTCTCGGCTAACGTGTATTGATGACGATGATATATTTCTTTAACTTGTTCTGCACAAATCGCCTTCATATCTTTCGTTCTTTGTTCACTTGTCTCTAAGTCGCCGACGTACTATCTCAGTACTGTCGCAACTGATAACCTTCACACCCACCTCACCAGACGCACCATTTCCTGTCTCTGTGCTAAATCTACGTATCACGTCCGCCACGACACTTTATGTTGGATAGATTTGAGCAGCGGGTGGTCTCTTTTCTTTCATTTGCCTATGCACTCTAACAACGTCTGTTGGTCTCCCAAAATCTGTGTTTTGCATCTCAATATTCTGCTCCCCTTTAATTTGCGGTTTAACTGCGGTTTACTGTGGATGTAGTATTTACTTTCGAGCGGACAGTACCTTTCTAACGTATTGGCACAACACAATGTTTTTTTTCTCACTTGTACAAGTCATCGGATCTGTTCGGCTGCGGTTTTCTATTCAAGTGGCTAATGCATGATTTACACCATTTTCAGGACCCAATGACGGCATCTCCTACGTCCTCCCTTTATTTGGAATCCTGTGCTATGAAACACCCTTACACTGCAGATTCAGCTGACTCTGTCGCCGACGCTCTGTCGCAGGATGAGGCTACCGTACTGGCCAACGCGACACAATCAGCTATCCAGCATGTTCTTTCTCAGACCGCTGGTATGGATGGTGAGTCGATGGACAATTCAGTAGATCTGCTGGATGAAGCCGCACTCGTAGAGCTGACAGATACATGTATCGAAAACCCGGAGGATGAGTCCGATGATGGATGGTCTGCTTCACCGCCTTTGATGGACGAATTGTGGGTGAGTCCTTTGGGAATTTGCGCTCGATGCGGTGACCGCTTGGTGTCTGTGCTCCTTCCTTATTAATTTTTCTCATGTGTGTCTCCTGTAAAATCCCAAATATACATTTTATTTATTTGTGTATATTTTTTATCAGGACCCAGTGGAATCCAGAGGCCACAACGCAAATGCTAAGCTTGATGAGTCAGACCCCAGTGTTGATTCTCAACCTTCTTTCCAGCAATCCTTCTCCCATGATCTAGAACCCATTGATGAATCACACGAATCTACGCATTCTCACAGAGGTTTGGAGCAAGAGGTAGATGAGGATATTCCACCGGGTCTTTTCTCGCCTTGGTCTAGTCTGTCAAATGCCAGTCGTCCACAAACGCCTATTGAACCTTTTTCGCTTGACAATGATTTCCAACTATCGCAGCCCCTTTTTGATTCTACTGCTATCGAGGAATTTGTAGATGCCAATGTAGCTGAGTGAGTTTGAACTGAAGTATTTACGCACACCGAATCCTTATTGAAATTCTATTTTACTGAGGGTGTTCACTATCAACTTCATTGATCCTTGTGTTTTGGATAGTCTATCTTCGCTCGATTTAGGTTCGTGTACACCGACTTCCAGCCTTCGGTCCTTGTCCAGTAACTTACATACGATTGCGACTGGAATAAACTATCTCTCAGAGGCCACCGTTTACTGGTCGAAAACCTCTGTCTGCGCCCGTCTACTTAGTTTTCGTGATGTTTTCCAAAATGTTGCATCCTTTTTGCCTTTACCTGCTTGTTGTGAAGGATCATGGTCTCTTTTGGGCCGCATGTTGCTTCCCTGGTACCAAGTTTCATCTGCTCATACTTCATTTTCAGTCGCTTTCCTGAACTCTGCTTCTTCCTCCTACTCATCATCATCATCATACTACACGTTAGCTCGAGGTGGGGAACACCTCAGTTACTGTGCCGCAATACATGGAAAAAAGGAGAAAAAAACAACTGGTGCAAGCTGGCTGAGCTACCGGTAACGGATGGGCATCGTTCCGGTAAGCTACCAGCCGGCTGCTGTGCACCAAAAAAAATTACTATGCAAAATTATATAAGGCTAAATAATGAGATCGTGGTTGGAGAGGGAGGCTAAGAGGGATGGGGTGGGACAAAGAAACTCACAGCACGAACGCCACTGAGGTCGGCTCCTAGCCATATCAGCAAGTGTGTCCAACCAAACGTGTTCATCGTCTTTCGGACCCAAACCAGGGAACCGAGACGCTCCAACCGAGGCCAGCTCAGAAGTGAGGGCCTTCATTCCTCTGGACCAAGTCATCGCTTGGCCACCCCTCCTCTTCTTCCATCCACACCCCCGGGGCGCAAACAACGCAGGTTGCGGGAGTCGGTGGGCTGGCATGCGTAACACGTGGCCAAGCCATCGGAGTCTGGTACGTGAAATGACGGTGCTGAGCGGTTCATTTCCTTTTCCTGTGCCGTAAACAAGGCGTCGAACACGCTAGTTGCTCACGTGGTGTTCCCATCAGATGTGAGCTAAATTACGAAGGCACTGGTGGTCGAACGTAACTAGCCTCTTCAGGTCCGCTGCTTTAGGCGGCCAGGTTTCACAACCGTACAGTAGGATCGAACGTACTGCTGCATTGTACATTCTGCCCTTCAGAGTGAGAGTGATGTCGCGCCGGCGCCATAAGTGGTGAAGGTTAGCAAAAGCACTTCGAGCTTTTGCTATACGGTTCGTGATCTCGTCTTCGATCCCACGGACGCTGATACAACTTCCCAGGTAGTTGAATTTTTGAACGACTTCTAACTGATCCCCACCAAGGGTCAGCGTAGGAGGCGGTCCAGACCAATCTTGGAGGAACGCTTTGCACTTCGAGGGTGCGAAGCAAAGCCCGAAGTGACGGACAACTATTGCTAATCTGTCCAGTGCCGTTTGGCACGTTTGTGAGCTGTCACAGATTAGGGCAATATCATCAGCATACTCTAAGTCAAGAAGTCCTTCTCCTGGGAGCAGATCCACACCTTATAAGTCGTGTCCTGTAAACGCGATTTCCATGACCGTCAATAGCGAAGTTGAAGAGGAAAGGTGACAGCGGGCATCCTTGTCTCACGCCGCTCTAGATATTAAAGGGCGACGACAGCTTGCCGTAAGCTCTCACTCTGCCCCAGCTACGCGCATATAATGCTCGGATAATATTCACATATTTCTCAGGTACATCTTTCCTGAGTAGACAGTCCCAAAGTGCATGTCTATCCGCTGAGTCGAATGCACCGTTGATATCGAGGAACACGACAACGGTGGGCCGCCAGTATGTATGACGGTGCTCCAACAATTGACGCAAGGTGAAGATGTGGTCTATGCAGCCACGACCTCGACGAAATCCAGCTTGCTCTTCACGAATCTGGCTTTCACGAGTGCCAGTCAGTCTGTGAAGAATGACAGAGGCAAGCAATTTGGAGGCAATAGAGATCAGACTGATTCATCTATGGTTGCCGCTTTCCGATCGTGAGGCTCCTTTGAAAATTGGGACTATGACGGAGCGGCTCCAATCGATTGGGACAGTTTCCTGCTCCCACAATCTCACTAGTAACTCGTGTAAATCATCCACAAGAGCAGGTCCCCCGAATTTGAAGAGGGCTGGAGGAAGTTCATCAGGTCCCGCGGCTTTGTTTAACTTCAAAAGTTCGATCTCACGTTCGACTTCTGAGCGAGAGGGTGGATTCCTCCTCCTCCTTCCTCACAGTTAACGTGTATACTTAGTTTGCGTTTACCATTGCATCTTGTTTGACTACATTGTCTCTTAAAGCGTTGAGTTTCCTGGATCAACAATTCAATACGAAAACGAACATTGCAAGTTGGTACCGTCTCATGTTGTACGCCCACGTGCGAGGTAGCATATCTGCTGTTCACATTGGAAACATTATTTTGAACTAGTTGAGAAGGGAGCTCACGCCGACACAAGTTAGCAAATCGTTGAGCCAGGGACAATGGTCATGAATCCAATAAAAGCTTCTAATTGGCGATCAGCTGCTTCTGTGCACAAGGGCTAAGGCGTTACCGCTCGATCAGGTCACAGACTCGGCAGCCTTAAACACGTTGATGTTTTCATTTCATTAGACGGCCATAAACCCGTGATCAAAATCAACTTAATAACGTGCCGACTATTTGTCTAGCAATGAATGATAACCGTAGCTTACCTGTTATGTCTGTGTCAATACTCTTTGCACCGCTGCCGTAAAAATCCGTTTTGAAATATGCTCCCTAATCTTCATACCCAGGCAGCGATCTGTTCTGCCAACGTTACTGCTTTCGCAGCTGCGAACAAATTACTAAACGCAACGACTTTTGGCTGAGACTGACCGAATGGGCTTGACTAGAGATGTCGACAGGTTTCTGATGGTCCAAAGAGAACAGCGTTTGCCGGCGTTGAACGTACGGCGAATTGCTGTGTTCACCGTCGTTCATATTGCGCCGCCATAACTTAGGGTAGAAACGAGCATTTTAAGCGCAGTTAGAATCTTTGGCTTTTGGTTTCCCCACTGGTGACTGAAACCTACTAAATGTTCTCGGATAATCTTCACTCGCATTAGTTGTATGATGAAGACGACTCCACATAGTCTCCACTACATATTCTACCAGCTCGGCTAAACTGTCTTGACAACACAGCGCATGTACTGGACAGGCGTGCAGCTATTCTAATGCAGAGTACAGTTTACGTGGCCTACCTGTAAGGACCAACACACTGTTGATGATACTACTCAGATTCTGCACCTGCATGTTTCCCGTAGTATTTAAATGGTCGGTCCTTGTGTGACCCTGATGTATCGGAGTTTCTCTGATTCCCTCCTTTTGCATCTTTTTAATTTTATTTCGCGACACTGTGCTCTGAGCCGTGTAATTGGATTATCAGAAGCTGCTCACACTGACTTCAAAAATTGATCCTACTTCATTACCTTATCCTTCCAAATTAAAGAGTGTTGGATACGTACACTATTGTGCGAATAGGTATCATGCGTTCCGTGAAACATCTGCATTACTGGATCTGCACGCCCACTTCCCTCGTCCTTCTCTCTCTAATCCAATTCGGCCTTTTCCATTTTCTATTTCCCTAAGCTAAGCTTCTCACCTTTGTGTCGAATCTACTTGGCAGCTTCATTGACCTCCTGACAGGGCCTGTTACTTAGAAGCACTCAAAACCCGAATGGATATGCAGCACCGTCTTCCCCTTTCAACTGAACACCTCTTAAGACAAACTAAAATAACTAGGTGGCTGGGACGAACTTCTCGGCTGGTCTCAATCAATGTTACTAACGAATGAGAATTGTGATCTTACATGGCTCCCTGTAGACCCTAATAATGCTTAGGCTGTGGCCAGTTATGTCTGCATTGCAATCTCCGACGATTAGGAATTAACCAAGTGTTTCGACTAGATAAAGTGTGCAAAGACCCAGATGCGCCAACTGAATGGCCCCCGGGGGTATCTGAGGAACACAGCATCGTCATTCGCTACACTTCAATGAGTTGTCTATACTTTACTACTACCACGCTGTAGTCATCTTTACGGTTCAGTTTGTTTCACCCGACCAGAACTTACAAAGCACAAGATGCCGTCTTGAAACTGGGTCGATACACTTCCTGTTCTAGGTGTCACCAAACAGTTGCTCGAAGTGGGCAGTCAGTTCACCTGACTTAATAGGTATGTCAACTCTAGTGGTCTCATCAGCAAAACACCCTAGGTCAGTTCGATTTATCGATGCCGATCCCAACAATGGATCCTAATATCCAGTTTCTTGTCTCCTCGATAGTAAAGATTAACAGTGAACTTAAGCAGGACAAAATCAAGCAAGGAATGCAACAGTCATCAGAAAGAGGAATTAGCTTCTGTAAACGCGAGACTCAACGGAGCATGAAGCAAATCACATCGTCAGTTCTGTTCACTTCAACTGACCGCTTCTATTCATGCCTCAGTTCAAACACATATTTCTTCCCCTCTTGTACATGATTACCGCATTCCAGTCAATAGGCTGGCTACCACTAACAATCACCCTTTTCAATCTCACGCGATTATCGTCATACTACTCGCTTAGAGCCACTAAATCACCATTACCAGTATCAACACCAGTTTACGTCTCCATATCTCGGTATAGTGCGAAGCACTTCACTCGTAGACGATTCCACACCGAAGGGGACTTTACTTACATTCCTGGACACCACCTCAGAGATTGTGTCATGCTGGCCTGACGACAGACCTTTGCTCGAGTTGGACCAGTTACATTTGTTTCTCTCTTATCTCACCTGCACCATCTCTTTCTCTTTTGACAGTCGCATTCCTCAATTGGATGGTACCAACGATGGACACTCCAATGTCCAAGGTAGGTGTTGGGAGTCGCGTTTATTCGTCCCGCTAACACTGTTAATGTCACAGATACGCTAAAACGGTTTACTGGTGCACTGAGTGACGTGTGCGAGTAGCCTCGACTAAATCCGATAATATAGTGTATCTGGATTCTTCTAACTTATCTTGGGACTTGTTGGTCGTGCATCCGGGGAAATTATTTGGAATCCATCACTTTTCTACTATCATTATGGAGTTATCTTACAGATGCACACACAACCTACCTTCATAAGAGATTTGAATGCACCAACACTGGTTGGTTTTAATCACAAAACGCTTTTCTCTATACATCGGCATGGAGCATTCCCTAGTTTAGATTCATTATAACCATGCCAAATGGGTTTCAGGTTGTGCGACCAGACTCCTGCTTGTCGCATCGCAGACTATTTATCCATCAGGTTCTCTGTTTCGGATGTGAGTTTCCGACTTTTTAGAATTAAATCTCGTCTACCCATGTTGTCTTGTACTCATGCGCGTTTTCGACCACTCATTTCACCGCCGCTGCTTACTCTTTGCAGTAACTTGGTGTTTTAGCGGTTCTCAATCGGAAATCAAGAAGACTGGGCCGCGATCACGAAGTCATTTATTAAGATTACGCTTGCATATTTATAGAGTATATACACTATTTGCGACAGTCCACTCCACTGGCTCATCCTTAGTATCTGCATTCTGTCGCTGGTTGCATTTCCATTGGTTTACGCTTGTTCGCAACGTTCATTCCGTCTAAAATTACTTCGAGCTGTGTTGCCAGCTTTCTGGGTGGACTGTACGATTGGTTCGGTTGCTCACCCGTCCATCAGGCCACGCTCTTCTTCTCTCGATCCAATACCACAACAAACCTTGGCTCAGGTGCGCACCGATACGCTCTTCACGGGTACGCGGTTCTTCGCCTGTGCATTTGAAACCTGCTGACGCCTGACTGGTCGCCTGCACACTCATTGGATGTTGGCTGACTGTAGTTACAAAGCTCGACGAGGGCGTGCGCCGACCATTCGCTGCTCGGCTAACCAATCCGCTTCCGATGACATGCGCACTCGGGCTGACTTGCATCTGTCTGGTAATCCGCGAAATGCCGGGTGGCACTCGATCGTCCATCTGCCTACCGACACCGTAGCGTTTCCACTCACCAGCATTTTCAGCCCCCAGCCCAGTGGGTACCTGGATAACCTTCTGTCTCGAGTACTACACTGGTTGTTCGTGTAGCGTACGTCAAACACTGCTACTCTGCAATCAAGCGACAGTCAATAGGCCGAAGCGATATTTGACAAAATATGCGAAATTGTGGTAACCCACCTGGTCCAGCCTACTGTCAGCCACATGGGGCTGTTCGATATTCCCACTGAAGACCGTTCCCTCAGTTACTAGATACACCTCCCTGTTGCAAAGCTTTCCTGAATTTTGGGCTGGGAATTTATAAACAATATGGCTTTCACGAAAATGCTGTACTTTTGTGCAGTGATTTTGTACCCTGTCGGATGAATGAACAGGGTCAAATGGCTGTGAGTGAAGATTGCTCGACTTCTGACCATGCCATTGCGTTTTCTCACTAGGACTGGGCTTTAGCTTGTTGCACTGGTCTGTGTGTGTGTCACAATCCATTGCGTTTGTCTCGGTTGTGCTTTTGCACCCTCAGAGCCATTGGTCGGTAGTTGCAGGCCACACATCATCAGCTTCCTGCTCCTCCAGACTGAGGGTTGGAACCAACTTGTCTACTTACTACTTAAATTGGATCCCATGTAGCCCGCAGTCAAACCTGCTGCTTGAGAGCCCTAGTCATCCTCCTATCTAGGACCGGGCAACTTGACGGTATCCTGCTTGCGCAAGACAATGAAAACAACCTTAAACCACTTTTTTATGACTTGGTCGCCACAGGGGATAACAAACAGCATCAAGCGAAATGGATACTGGTGTGGGGGTACTGTACAGATCATTCCGCCTTCGAATCTCGTTTTCTACTCTATTTCATCCCTTCTGTGCTGTTGTGTCGGAGCCCCACGACTGTTTCCACCCACTAACGGTAGTGAGAACACCAACGATCGAGCAACAAACAATGTCCCACGCCAAACCGGCCACCAAGCGTCTGTCTGTGCAACTCAATTACAATATTCCAATTAGGGCATATCACAGGCTATGTGGAAAGGCTGGCATTCGATCAGTCAATGCTGGTCATTTCAAAAAGCGGGGATTGATAAGTTGCCTCACGAACGAACGAAATACACAAAGTAAAAGCGAATAAGCGTAATCTTCAGTGTCCATACAAGCTAACCACAAATATGAGGCAAAAGTGCACGTATGCGAGGAACCGTAAAAGAGAGCGGGGTGAATGGAGCAAAATAACGGGGAGTGGTGGAGTATTCTTACCTCCGCTATAACATGTGCCATTCGGCGCAAAAGCTAACGTGTTTCTTATCCCTGACTCATGTGTTGAATGATGCGAGTGATTCTAGATCACCTGTGACCAGTGCCCCCCTTCTCAGAAGCCTCACTTTCCTCTCAGGACGAACCTACTAATGGGGTTTCTACCGTGTGTATCTTCACTCTACGATCATCTAATCAAATCTCTATTTCGGGTACCGACTTTCACTTGGCTTTCCTCGTCTCGCTTCACGGTTGATCCTACGCCACGTATATGTTATCTGATAAACAGTCATCCTTGCATGAGCCAGGTTACTGTTCTCATTCTTTTGCGACTTCTCTTGATGACATTGTATCATATTATCTGGGATCACCACATCATAGCGAACGGAAGCGCAGTCCCACCGGTTTTGCTCATTTAATTGTCTTATTTTGTGTTACTGGCTCTTTTGAGCTGATCAAAAACCTTCTATTGATGCCAGCAACAGACTTTACTTAAACGGTACCTGGATCTGTCATAATTAAGCTCTCATCAACTTGCATCAATTAGCATGGCACTTTACACATCTGTTCAACATTTTCAGTCGTCATATTTATTATCTGACACCTGTACTTGTTGCGATGTCATCGCTTACACTCTCTTAATGATGCAATACTGCTTGAGAATACTTTCCTCCTAGTCCTGGTGCTCACACCTTGTGATCCTACGGTCCGTCTAATTCTTGCTAGTAACATACTGGCAAGCTTATGTTGTTTTCTCAATTTTTTTAATCCTTTATTAACCCATTTTCTGCAGGCGTCCATTTTTAGGGACATTTTCTGCATTTTGATTTAAGCATTGAATTAATTAAGACAAATTTCGGTTGACCAAACTGATTTCACCATAATAAGGTTTAGTGTCCTTTCTGATAGCGCATTCAAACGCTGAAAATTATTACGTTAATTCAGTACCGTAAATTACATCATAACGAATAATCCTCAAGAAAGCTCCAGCAGAAAATGCGTTTAAGTACGATCCATACATTTTAACTTCTTGAAATATCCATTGTGGGTTGGCGTTCTGGCACACAATTTAACCACAACTTATCTAGTCATTTCATTAACTGGTGGCACCTCTGAGGTTGCCCTAGCCTATAATGTATGCATGGATTCCGCGCGGTTCTGGCATGCGTTCTTTCTTGGCGCCACTGATCTGTTGATAAACAAATAATTTGATATATTCTCCAACACGCGGAGTACCTTCATCCCTGGGTCCAACTTCCATTTCCGACCTCTAAGTCGGCCGTAGAAACCATCTACGGCTAGAATTGAGTAAAGTGTAACTTCTTCACTAAAGCAAATATTCCTAATTTTCAGCTTTAAAGTCATCTTTAAACTTTAAATTCATCTACTCACTACCTGAACGCTTCTCGCAAGGATTCCGAAAGCAAATATTGTCTATTGCCGAGGCTATTTACATCCACCATTTGAAGCCGGAATTATGTGCATATATTCCTACGACCGATACTACTATTGTGGCCGACTGACATGGTTACTTACTTCTCCTTTGTGGACTTACCTATTTACTTTAGATTGCTGAAGCGTGTGTATTAATGTTCCTTTGGTGAACTTTTCTTGCCATCTGTAGCCGCCTTTAGGCATCGATTTTGACCGTTCCAACACTTTAGAAATCAATCCCAGCCCGATTTGACGCTTAGTCCACACAATCAGCGTTATGTAAACGTTTGAGTCTGACGAGAGTTTACCGAAAAGAATTCTTAACCCTTAACTTATTTTTGGTTTTGAATTAGTTAAAGTGTGTCTTGTGTGCTTACTTCTCCGCTGTAAATGTACGCTTTCTTGTTTATTTAAGATGCCAGTTGCACAGAGGCCAGGCTGCGTGTTCGTAGACGCCGACGGTTGGGACTACGTTTGAAAGCTCATCTTCGTTCTCCGGAAAATGAGGCGGTGCACTCGTGGAGTTCAGCCACAAGATGCCAACTGGGGGCTACTTTCACTAGTGCGCAATCTCAAGACGTTGACCACGTAGCCTTGATTTCAACAGTGGAATCCAGTACTCTGCGACATTGTTCCCCATCAGCAATTGAGCTGGCCGACCAGAAAGTAACCTACACTTTATATTTAGCCCAGCACGTTTGTTTGAAATGCCTTGCTTTGAAAACGATTTTCATTTAACACAAGCCATTGTTCTGTAACGCATGTGGGGATATTTTCGCCATTCTACAGCTCCTCGCGATCTCCCTCCTCGAGGTCACCGTGCAATTTTCTATCGCTCTCCCAATTACCTCACGGTATTTCGTTCCTTCTATGCATTATGCTCGACTGAGGTCCTTGGATCTCGTTCTTTCGTTTCACGTTGGGAGGTGGGGGTTCCACCTACCTCACTTCTCATTTTCGCCTTACTTTTTATTGCGATCCTCTGTTTTTCTTCTTTTTGTTTATCCGAACTATCATATGCTTGTTGTCCGATTCACACATTTTGGCGCCGGGCTCTGTGACATTAATCGGCCTAGCTCATCTTAACACATTATTTCTAATCGCTGTATCAAGCTCCTTCATAACATATTGCGACCTAAGGATCTTCATTAGCATCCATCATTGCTTATAGGCGAATATCTGTTTTTTTTAATCATCGGCAGTTTATAACTCGGCTTTGAGATTCTGCAATGAACCCGATTCTTGCGTTTTCACAGTCACAGGTCTGTATCTAGTTTTTTGATGTCAATATGGCTAGGCTTAACAATGAGAGATCGCGTTCTACCGCTGCGCATTCCGATGCCGCTTTTGTTAACTGTACTAAATAAATACATATAAACGTAATATAAATAAGTAAACATTTCCCTTTTTGGGCCCTGAGTCAGTACGAGATTGTTACTGCATCGTCACTGGTTCACTGGGGCCGGGCGCACGCAAAGCAGTATTTTAGCCATAGCCCGCTTTACAATGGCATCGCCATTTGGATCTGGCATTAATGTGAACATTGTATGGCAACTCGCTTGCATCGTTTGCTGGTTTATAGAGCTAGCAGTCGGTGTGGCTTATGTATATGTAGACACTTCGTTTCTGCTAGTATCAATCTTGACACAGCCTAACATCTTACTTGTGGATACACTTGATGCACCCAATAACACTCCGCTATTCAACTTCTACTTTGCTGCAGTGAGGAAACAGTGTGTGGCACATCAGATGTGGCACCAGCTTAACGGATGATTCCACCTCGATTCAGACGCAGACGGATTTCCCATCGTCATGTTGGAAGGACATTTTTGCTTAGTTATATTCCATGTTTTCTGATTTTAACTAAGTGGGCTGCGTCTCTAGATGGCGATTCTTCTTTAATTTGACTCGGGCAGAATCTGATGTGGTCTAAAAATAATCTCCTCAAGGTGATTGGCAACTCCTTCCACTTGAATGCGATTGCGCGTTGTAGTGGGGCATGAGTCGCTTCAGTGCTAAGAATGCTAGCCTATTGCAAGAGTACGATCTCATTGCGTCCGTTCGGACTATCAAGACTTACGTCTAATGGACCGGAACCTCCGAAGTGATCAATGCATCCCACTGGCTTGCATTGCATGTGTTGTGAGGAGGTTATTTGCATTCGTTAATTTGACCTGGGTCAAGCAGTCGCTTATTTCACACTAGAGCGGCTAGATGCAACCAAGACCGCTCACACATCTTTTGCCCGGTGCATCGCTTAAGTACATCGGCATTGGGATTTATGCGCTTCCATTCCGCCACACATCTCATTGGTGAATTCGCGTCGTCGACTGCGTTTGTGGCAATGCTCCCTTCGTTTGTTATCGACTTGTGGTACATTCATATGGTGGGCTATATGGCACATTGTGAAATTTCTTTGGCATGCACTACTGATAAGCAGTCTATTTTCATCACTTCAAATGTTATTCATCCTCGCTCATTCCATAACCTTTTCAGACACTTTCTCTTTACTCCTACTCGACTATCGCCCTAGATGTATTTCGCCTCTATTTTTCCTTCATCTATAAGTTGCCTGAGTGAAATTTTCGGCATTATCTTCAGTCATTACTTCTTGAAGGTGGACCTATCTACTTATTTAATGGCCCTGGCATCAGTTGCTGCTTCTCATTCTAGACAAAGCGCGTTCTTATTCTACGTTGTTCGTTTTTCTCTTTACCCTATCCTCATCAGCTTATTTCGTCTCCGGTGGTGATGCTACAGCGAGTTAAAGAGGATCTATCTCAGTTACCCTCCTCTCCATCTTCCGTGGATTTTGACATCTCACAGCGTCCTTCACCCCGCGATGAGTTTGAAGATAAGTCTCGGTCAGCTAGTTCAACTGGACTAACGGAGAGTGGCCTAAGCGGAGTGTACTCATTTTACGACGAGTCTCTCCCCAACACAGACAATGAGGCATCTTCCGGAGAATCGCTTGGCAACTTGACTTTGTTTTCACAAAGCCAATATGTTCCGTCACCGCCACCTACGTCTCCCCCTGAACTTTTGCCGATCCAGATTCCGGTTCGATGCGAACCACTGCATTCCATGCGCCCACTTCATGCTCCACCACCTCTCAGTGATGTTCTTCGTTGGCTGGAAGCTCGCAAGGACAGCGTCTACCCCATAGGTCCTTCGAACAAGGTGTACAAGTCGTCACAGTCGCAGATGTCCATCATCTCACCCATTCCAGATGAACTGGGCGCTAATATTGTGGTGCGTAACGGTAGAGTCCCTGTCACGGTAACCAGGGAGAATCACTTTTGGTAACTTGATCTTTTAATTCACCTATTCCATTTCTATTTCTCTGAATCTGTTTTTCGTTTTCGAAGATCGTGGGTGTCGAAGTTTTACTTCTTGTGTGTGTTAATTAATTTGCATACTTGCGGGGGTATGCATTAACAGAACGTCGGAATTTCGTACTGACGCTTTGCTGCCACAAAACCACTTCCAGTCGCGTGCGAACGGAGCGTACTGCGATGTCGCCCACTAGATGACAGTGGTATGTGCCACTTGACCACCGGCGAGTTGACATGAGAATACTTTTAGGGATACCTACTGGGACCCAGGTTGTGATGGCAATTAATTCTTGCCTGTTCGTCGACGAATAACTTTTCGCTTCACCTCAATGACGCACGTTGCATTCACATTCATGATGACATTTATGTATCCTGCATTTATCCTTGGGTACAAGAGGACTCCGAATTTGCACACTGCTTTTCCCATTTGTTGCCTCTGTTCTTTTTAACCTCATTTAACTCAATGCGTTACATATGCTTGGCGGCATCCAGTTCCGGATTTGTCTGTCACTACGGCCTCCATGGGATAGCTACAGGACGTCTGTTACTCATTTCCTCAATGGAATTATTCTAGAGTGATCCACATCCCGTATTTTGATAGATTCAGCCTTCTCAAGTGGACACGTTAATTCCGGTTTACCCCCCCCCCCCATTCGTTTCGTGTTCTTACACACCACTTACCATAACCTCCTTCAACATTTTATTTACTTCAACCAAACCTACTTTCCCGAGTGCACCACTCTTTCTTTTCCTGTTATTGCAGTCGCTAATTCGATTTTTGAATCTTTTAGGGCTTTACACCTCTGCGATCTTTTCTCATGTCCCAATCACCGTCTTTGGAGCCATCGTGTCGTGATAGGTGACTAGTTAACTTGTTTGTTACCGATTCGGCTGTTTACACGACCGTCGCATGTGCGAGACTTACGGTGTTAGGATTTAGATGAAATTGTGTGCTTGCTCTTAACCCTTGCGACATTGACTAACGACTGTCTGATAGTATTAGCAGAACTCGGGTATCACTCGTGGAAATCTGTCTTAATTGGGTCGAAGCCATATTTATAGAAACGATATCTCGTTCGTTATCCTAGGCTACACATAGCAACCTATTCTACTGGGGTATGTATGTATGTATGGCCGACGTACGACTCCTTATCCTTTGTTAACACCACATTGACAGGAATTTATACAGCCAAATTTTTTATCTATTTACGTCTACATGTATTCCATTTTTTCCACAGCGAACTTCACCCGGGGACCGCAGGCTTTCCTCGTCTTCTTCGTCCGAGTCCATTGCCAAAAGGGATTCGTCGTCCGTACTGGGGAATTCATCCATACCTTCTGTGAGCGTCCTTTATCAGGCCGCTAGTCAACGATGTTTTCTACCTGTCCAGGCGAGTCTCATTCTTTTGGTATCATTAAGAGGGTTTGTGGTTGACTTCTTGAGCCCGTTAATTCTGTCGTCCATATAGACAACAGAATATTGGTTCATGGATAAAGCGCTGCAGTGTTGCTGTACCAATGGAAGACGTGGCTATTTCAGGCGAAATGCTTGTTTTTGATAGGCAGATCCCGCGAGTTTAACCTCTTGCATGTGATGAAAACCCGATGAACGCTGTTGACCGCCTCCACTTAGTGTCACGGAACATGCCTTGCGGTGGCACGCAATACTATTTTTCACTATTTATCGCCTAATTTGGCTAGGCCGCGTTCTTCTTTCATTCTCGGACCGCTGATCTCAGTGTGTGTTATTCGCCAGCACCGTGACGTGCATGAACTTCTCAAATGACAAGGTCGGGTCAATGCAGCACCGTCTTCGAATTGGTCGATGTAAAACGCGCATCCACTCAGTGTGTACGCAGGTGGCAAGTTGTCAACATTTGCTACCGACTACTTGACCTCCGTAACATGCGGTGCACAACTTGCAAGTTACCTCACAAGAATTCGATCTTGGTTGCTCCGAGCAGATCAAATCTGCTTCAACAAGAGTCAATCAACATGTTCTCTCTTTCAAAGAGCACTCGGACATTTGAATCCTTTCATCTCCTTAATGCTCAGGGCCTACATGCATCCAACGGGAATGTGCTATTATTCTAGCCTAGTAACCTTGGCCAGATCATAATCTCTCAGTGTTTGATATCCCAACATCGGGAGGCAAAATAATGCCAAGAGTGCGCCTCCATCCGTACCATATCAACCGAGAAACTCAGATTATTTGATGGACGCTGTTGACGACTACGCGCACACATATTGACATGTCAAATACTAAACGAGCTTACGTATGTCGCCACTTTTTGATGCTCAGTCGATATGCTAGCCTGAAAGATAATCGCTTGAAATTAAGTGAGCTACTCGCACATCTAGCTTGCCCACGGAGTCAGTATTCCCGTCGGGTCCGCCAACTGCGGGACGCTCTTCTTAACCCAGTTTCTTTGCCTCTACTTTTGCTATTTCTGTATATCGTATGGACATCGCGCTTAATCCGCTGCACTCTGTTACCTGAATTCGACACTGGAATGTATTCCTGTGACTTGGTTTATTTGCAGTTGGAATCCACACTCATGCACGAAAATCAGTTCGAACGGGAGAGGAAACAAGTTATTCTTTACATGTACCATTAACTATGAAGAGTTGTTACGCTGTTTTACATCACGCTGTCTTATTTTTGCGTTCTCACTCTATATATGCTGCTATACTGTTGCCTTAGGCTTCACTTTGTTTGCATACAAATTCTCAGCTCTTGTAGTCCTCACCCTGGCCATCTTCCGAGACTCATCAAACATATGCTATTTTATCGTCTTCCGAAAACATGAACCCCGGGAGCAACGTCCTCGATTCCCAGAACTCGTTGCCTACTTGTCACTGGTGTTGTATGGATGATCTAGCTTCTCTCCTGATGACACAATCACAGCAGAAATCTTGCCAAATGGGAAAATTTTCCGCTTCCATCTGAGTATACCCTGGCACTGCATATTCTGTTTCTTTTCTACGTCAGAGTCCCAATTATTTCGAGAAAGGGCGTCCCACTACAGTACATTCCCTGCTAGTTTCCATGTTTGTCTCCTAATGGTTATGAAGCGGGATAAGACTAACATGAACAGAAAAAGCGCGTTTATTTCCACGTTACAGTTATCCAATCAAAATGTCACTATCAAACCAGTGAATTCACAACGTAATATTTATGACAAAATCATTTTTACTGTCTTCCCTTGTTTGCTTTTTACTAACTAGTTTATCATCATTATACACGTTAGCTAGAGGTCGAAACACCTCAGCTACTGTGCCGCAATACATAAAAGGAAAAAAGCGCAACAAATGCAAGCCAGCTGAGGTACGGGTAACGGATGGGCATTGTTCCGGTAAGCTACCAACCGGCTGCTGTGCACCAAAAAAAATTACTATGCAAAATTATGTTAGGCTAAGAAGTGAGATTGTGGTTAGAGGCGGAGGCGGTGGGACAAAGAAACTCACAGCACGAACGCCACTGAGGTCGGCTCCTTGCCATATCAACAAGTGTATCCAGCCAAACGTGTTCATCGTCTTTCGGACCCCAAGCAGGAAGCCGAGACGCTCCAACCGAGGCCAGCTTCGAAGTGAGGGCCTTCATTCCTCTCGACCAAGTCATCGCTTGGCCACCCCTCCTCTTCTTCCATCCACACCCCCGGCGCGCAAACAACGCAGGTTGCGGGAGTCGGTGGGCTGGCATGCGTAACACGTGGCCGAGCCATCGGAGCCTGGTGCGTGAAATAACGGTGCTGAGCGGTTCATTTCCTTTTCCTGTGTCGTAAACAAGGCGTCGAACACGCTCGTTGCTCACGCGGTGTTTCCACCAGATGTGGACTAAATTGCGAAGGCACCGGTGGTCGAACGTAACTAGCCTCTTCAGGTCCGCTGCTTTAAGCGGCCAGGTTTCACAACCGTACAGTAGGGTCGAACGTACCGCTGCATTGTACATTCTGCCCTTCAGGGCGAGAGTGATGTCGCGCCGGCGCCATAAGTGGCGAAGGTTAGCAAAAGCGCCTCGAGCTTTTGCTATACGGTTCGTGATCTCATCTTCAATCCCACGGGCGCTAATACAACTTCCCAGATAGCTAACTTTTTGAACGACTTCTAGCTGATCCCCACCAAGGGTCAGTGCATGCCAATCTTGGTGGAACTCTTTGCACTTCGTAGGTGCGAAGCAAAGCCCGAAGTGACTGACAGCCATTGCTAATCTGTCCAGTGCCGCTTGGCACGTTTGTGAGCTGTCACAGATAAGGGCAATATCGTCAGCATAATCCAAGTCAAGAAGTCGTTCTCCTGGGTGCAGATCCACACCTTCTAAATCGTGTCCTGTGAACGCGATTTCCATGACTTCGTCAATAGCGAAGTTGAAGAGGAAAGGTGACAACGGGCATCCTTGTCTTACACCGCTCTAGATATTGAAGGGCGGCGACAGCTTGTCGTAAGCCCTCACGCTGCCCGAGCTGCGCGCATAATATTTACATATTTCTCGGGCACACATTTTTTATCAGACAGTCCCAGAGGGCACGTTGATCCACTGAATCGAAAGCACCTATGATGTTGAGGAACACGACAACGGTGGGCCGCCAATACATGTGACGGTGCTCCAACAACTGACGTGATGCATCCCCGACCTCGAAGAAACCCGGCTTGCTCCTTACGAATCTGGCTTTCACGATCGCTAGTCAGTCTGTGAAGGATTACAGAGGCAAGTAATTTGGAGGCGATGGGGATCAGTCTGATTCCTCTATGGTTACCGCATTCGGAACGTGAGCGTGCATTGAAGATCGGAACAATAACGGGGCGGCTCCAATCGGTTGGGACAGTTTCCTGCTCCCATCGTTTTACTAGTGACTTATTTAAATCATCCACAGGACTAGGGCCACCGGATTCGAAGAGGGCTGGAGGAAGATCATCTTGTCCTGCGGCTTTATTCAATTTCAACAGTCCGATCTCACGTTCAACTTCTGAGCGAGAGGGCGGATCCAAAGAGACAACCCAGGGAGCAGGGCGATAACTGGCCGGTGAGAGATCTAACAATTCTGACCGGTTAAATTATCTTTCAGAGTGCTCAGCTCAACGCTCCAAACGTTTTGACAAGTTGTGGATAAGCTGTCCACTCTTGTCACGTATAGTTTCACTAACACCAGGTCTCCTGCTGCCCGTTTCCCGTATCACACGGAAGAATTTACGATGGTTAGCAATGGCAGCGACCACTTACATCTTTGATGCACGATGAGACCACCACCACCACGCTTCGCGGTCTCTCTTCAGGCTAGCACGAAGTTTTGCCTGGAGGTTTCTGTGAGTCTCATAGTCTTCGCTTCCAGCGGGAATTTGCCGGTGAGCATTGAGAAGTTCCAGAGACTGCGAAGTGACCCAATGTCCATGTTGGTGATTAGACTTACCACATAAGGATTTGCCTGCTGCTAGGTAGGTCTGGTGAACATGAGACCAGTAAGCTTCAGTTGTATCCAGCGAGCGCTTACTTAACTCGCATATCAGTGTACTTCGATACGCATTCAGAACAGCTGGCTTCGTCAGTTGGATGGTGTCAATGCGCTCACAGCGTAGTCGTGAGCATCCGCCAAAGCGCATCCGCAGCTTGGCACGTACAAGTGCATTATCGGTGTCCTCACATGTGCTCTAAATCAAGCGACAATTCTGGACGCAGCCTCTCCAGCGGTGACTTATCGCAATGTGATCGATTTGCGTCCGTAGCTGGTGGGCGCCAAGTCACCCTGCGGCTGGTGCTGTGTCGGAAATTAGTTCTCGCAATAAATAAGCGAGCATGTTCACACAAATGAAGTAACCGCTCACCGTTATCATTACGGGAGCGTACACCATGTTGGCCGCCCAGATGCAGTTCGTCAGTGGACAATTTTCCAACTTGAACGTTCAGATCTCCCGCCAGCACAACAGTGTCCGAGCTTCTTCTGTGGCGAAAGAGCTCTTTCAGTTGGCGATAGAAGTCGTGTTTTACCGAATCATCGCTAGAGTTTGTGGGTGCATAGGCAGCGATGACAAATGGACACCTTTTAGTCCCGCGCGACTCCGAAGTTTTGAACGAACCAACCAATCGGACCACATACATCCGGCTACTGATTGGGATCCAATCAACCAGAGCAGCTTCAGCCCGGGGACTCAGGGCAATGCCAACACCGGCTTGGCCGGTGCTCAAAGCTGCATCGTCACCGGATAGGCGCAATGAGAAAGCACTGGTTGTGTCACCTTAAGGATATCGAAACGTGAGCACGTAGCTCGAGTCTTGCAGGCGGGTCTCCAATAAGCATCAGATTTCGATCAAAAGGGACTCTAATCTTCGGACAATTACTGCCTGTTGATCGATCTGTAGCAATGCGCATACATTGAGGCATACCAATCTGAAGGAAGATCGAGGGCTGCAAATGGAAGCCGATGAACTTGGGTGAATCGCTTGGTTAGACATGGGCTTGTCAACAGGACAGGAATGACGTTTCGCGTTCACATGTGAGCTGAAACTAAATGCCTAACAAAAGCAAGGTGGGGGAGGTCAAGAAATTGGGGGTCGAAAACAAGGGGTATAAAGGGGAAGCCGGAACAGGACGATAGGGTTGAAAAGCGTAATAGTAAGAATATTGGTAGGCTTGAGCCGCCGCATCCAAACCCCTATTCACCCTGCTCGATGCAGCAAATAAGGCACCGTTGATTATCCTTTGCGGTGGGCAGAACATCAAGAAATTGTTTGACGATAGATTCATAGTATTGCGTAGGCAGGATACTGTCAGGTTGTTCAGGCCTAGACAGGAGAACGATTACGGTTCTCGGGCAAAACCTTTGGTTCGAAAACCTGACCGTAAGGCAGCGGGTTTGGCGTTGGGCTACAAGGAGTCCGTTTTAAGGAATTAGGAACCACCCTCATTTCAATCCCCAACCTGGAGGACCAGAAGGCTGAGTTTGTCTGGCTCTAACCATTGACCAATCTGGTATGACTGGCTCTGAAGATACAAGAAAGTACTACCCAGCATAGCTCAATGGATCTCTGAAGCACGCCAACCATCGTACCACGGTAAGGTCCAGCCCCATTGCGATAACTTGTTTAACTGATCCATTAATTCATCCTCGGTTAACCGAGGTCCCATATTTCTCTGACTCTTTTCACTAATCACATCAGCAAACGCGGGGAGAGAACGGTTATTGTCGACGTCGAGCGGCTGACACTTGCTATTCTGAGCCCCCTCTGTTTAGGTACGCAACGAACAAACAGGAGCCGCTTGCGCAATGGAACTAATGGTTAAGGCAGATAGGCGTGACGCGAATGAACGAGGTAGCTGAGTCGGAAGTGCCTTCTCTTTGGTTTGATCTCGGGTTTCTGATTGACTAACCACAACTTGAAAATGAACGTGTTTTCTCTGTTTCGAATGTGTGGGTTATTTCCATGTTAGCTATACCCTCCTCTCAGAGCGGTAAGGAGGCAAACAGGGACTGTGTTGCCATAGTTTCACTTACCTCGGCAGTTGATAATTTTAACCTTTTTACACTTCATTTCAATGGGAATCGCGGTCCACTTGGAGATTGCGCGTCGCAATCCATCCACACAACGTGTACTTCAAATTGACCTTCCAATCTTTTTACACTTGGTTTAGCATTTGGATTCTGTTTCTTTTTGCCATTCTCCACGGTCCCGTTTACTAACACCATCTTGGTGAGGTGATTGTAGGCATCTGCCTCCTGATGCAGCATTAGACTATACTCCTTTAACATACGATGCACTTTTTAGACGTTTCTTAACATTTGGGATAATTTTATTAGACTAACAGAACTTTTGGAACAAGTATGCTTCACATAGAACATTAGTTTTCGAGTTGTACCTGTGTACCTGATAGCGTTGATAATCTTTTTGATTTTTTCGTGTTTTCCGATTCATTTTCTTTACTATACGTTAACCTGATGGACATTCTGTTTATTATCCTACAAATCCGGCATAATTGTTTTGTTTGTGTTGTTCGCTTTTAGGTCGACCACACCACTGTGGTCAGCTTGGAGTTGCACTGCTGCAGCCGCTTGACCTCCGTTCCTTTTCGGAACTCCTCTCTCGAGCAGCACACATCATCGAATCAGCCTCCTTCATCAAACCCTACGGCTGACACCCACCCGAGCTATGGCCTACTTCCAGACCCCTCGTTAGATCCTGTGTGTTTAGCCTGTCTTTCCTTTCGCCATCCCGTGTCATACGATGTCCAACGAAGCCGATTCCGTGTCGACAGTTTTGTCTTGGTAAATAGGACCGAAACCCCAGTAGCAGACGACTGTTCCGAATCATCCGTATCACCCTTCTTGCTTGGTTTTACAAGCGCGTACTCGAGACCGGATCCCAACGTTCTTTGTGGTCGCATGCGAAGCACTCGTGCGAAACGGTATCCGGTGCGTTTTATCTGGTGTCGCGACGAATGGCGTCTTTTCAACTGGTTGATCTACTTTATACAAAGGTTAGTTGTGTCCTGTCCGATTATGGGCTAATTCCTGGTTGCCGTTGCCCAAACGCATTTATTCCTTAAATGTTCCTTTGTTTATGATCGTGTTCAATTGTTTACCCACCCTTTTCAGTTTTGACCCAGATATCCTTCTCGGTTACGATGTCGAGCGACACTCTTGGGGTTATCTTGTCGATCGAGCGAAATATCTCGGACGCTCTTCTTTCATTCGTGAGCTATCACGCCTTGCTCCAGGTCAGTACTGTTTTCACTGGTGCATACATTTCATTACTTAGACCATGAAAACTCCGTCACGTTACACCGTTTCCGCTTCTCGAGTGTTGCTTTCAACCTAAACGGTGATTCCCACAATTAGGCACTATTCCACTAAATGGTACAATACGTTTGCATTTAAATGACAGCCGTCATCTGTTTGATTGACTGTAATTCTTACTAAGTGTCACACTTCGATCAAGTTGGTCAGTTGTGATCTGTGCATCTGAGAGCAGTGGGTCCGATTATCTTGACTCACGCAGTCAAAACGACAATCTTTCATATACTGATAGCAGTAATGCTAATTTAAAGAGAGTGCATAACTATTAAACACGTCAGATGCCGTTAGAGATGAGGGAACAAATGCATCAGCACGTTAATTTCGTGAACGCGCCATATCCGATACTGTTCAGCTATTGATGTGGCTGACCCAAATAGCCCGGACTAGGGAGTGGATGAGCACCAACTTTATGTGACCTTTCGGTGACTCCGTACAAGAAAATCGCAAGACGTAAGTTGTACGATGACTCGGCAGTTTCATGCCCAACCATGGCCTAAAGAACCACAGGCCTGCCTTATACTCCGAGGGCGCTGGTTCGAGCTTGCGTAGGGGAACTGGTGACCCTCGAACTATCCTTTGCCTACACGCGATTGTTGGTGGTTGTGCGGCAGCGAAGCGTCGGTACTGTGTACCGGCGCACTACCGAGTTCTTTGATTTCATGCTTTCTCACCTGTCGCAAACATGCAACCAATGAAGGACGTATAGAAAACATTGAGTTTCTCCATGCGCCGGTCACATACTCCAAAAAAGTGTGGTAATGGTAAACAATACACACAGTGGCATATTAGTCGGTTGCATGCAGTTCACATGACGGAGTCGGGGCAGGAGGTTCGAGTTCAAAATGCACTCAATGGAGGCACCATAGGGTCTGTTGCCAAACAAATTTTGTCGTTACTCGTTCAGCCCTCCGACCAGGCATGAACAACACTGTGCAGTCATATCTGTTCGAACGCGGCCAGCCTCTCAATGACCTCAGGATGCCGTAGCCTGTTCTCTACTCCATAAGGTCAGCTTGCTTGCACTTCCTCATTGTGAGACTTTACATTAACCGAAGATCTTACACTTCAACCTTTTCATAAGAATTATATCGTGGTTGGGGAAGGAAGCTGAAGAGAAGGGGAAGGAAAAGTAGACTCATAACACGAATGCCTTTGAGGTCGTCTCTTATCTGCCTGGCAGTCGGGAGTCACCAATCGACGCCAAGTTCGAAGTGCAAATTTTCGCTTCTCTTGACCACGTCATCCCCTGGCGTCCTCTTTTCTTTTTCTATCCAGACTCCGGCCTCGCAAACAATGCACGTCGCAGGAGTCAATGTGCTGCATGCACAACACTTGATATAGCCCTCGTCAAATGCTGGTGCTGAGTAGTTCACTTCCGCTACCTGAGTCATAAACGAGACACCGAAGACAATCATTGCTCACGTAGTGTTCCCGCTAGACATGAGCTAAGCTGCGAACGCAACGATGGTTGGACTTAGCTACAATCTCTATGTCTGTGGATTTGATAAACCAGGTTTCGCGATCGCACAGGAGGGTTGAACGCCCGATTGCATTGTTTACTCTGCCCTTCAGGGCGAAACTGATGTCGTGCCGGTACCACAGGTGGCGAAGATTAGCGAAAGCCCCCTCGCACTTCTGCTATACGGTCCGTGATACCGTCTTCTGTTCCACAGGCACTGAGACGGCCCTATTTGATCCCCACCAAGGGTCAGCGCAGAGGTGGCTCCCTGCCAAACTTGGATGAAAGTTTTCCATTTCGAGTGTGCAAAGCGTATCCCGAAACAACTGACAGCCAGCGTTGCTTGGCACGTTTTGGAGTTATCACAGATTAGGGTAATGTCATCGACACATTCCAAGTCAAGACGCCGATCACCACACCTTCTAAGTCGTGTGCAGTGAACTTAGTTTCGATGACCTCCTCGATGATAAAATTGGCACCGAAAAGTTGCAACGGGAAACCTTGTTTCACACCAGCGGCGGCAATTTCCATAAGCCCTCACTCTGCCCGAACTATGCTTATTAAGCGCTCTGATAATGTTTTTTTCTTGGGCTTACCTTTCCTGTGCAGACAACGACGAAAAGTACACCAGTCCACCAAATCAGACACCTTTATTGCCGAGGAACGCGACTATGGTGGCTCGCAAGTATAGGTGACGGTGCTCCAGTAACTGACGTAAAGTGAAGATCAACGCAGCCTCGACCTCTACGAAACCTGGCTTGCTTCTTGCTAACCTGGTTTTAAGGAGTGCCAGCCAGTCTGTGGAGAACAACGGACTCAAGCAGTTTAGAGGCATTTGAGAACAGGATGATTTTCTATGATTGTCGCATTCTAAACGAGAGCCCCATTTCAAAATTTAGACTATAACAGAGCGGTTCCAGTGTGTTTGGACGGTCTCGTGCTCCCACAGTTTCACTAGCAAATCCTGCAAATCGTCTACGGGAGCTGGTCCCTCGAATTTGTAGTGGGCTGGGGGAAATCAATATGTTTCTGCGGCCGTATTCAGCTCCGACAGCCTGATCTCACGTTCGACCTCTGCTCACGAGAGGGGATACAACTGGACAGCCTACGGAGGTGATCAATGGCCGTTAAGGACGATGACAGTTTTGGTTGAGTAAACTGCTTTTCAAAGTGCTCGACCCAACACTCCAAACTTTTTGATAAGTTCTTGATTAGCTGTTCGCTCTAATCGCGTGTGTTCTCGAGAACACCAGGTCTCCTGCTGTTCGTTTCGCATCTCAGACGGAATAACTTCCGTTGGTTACCAAGGGCATAAGCTGTCTCCATCTCCGCTGCACCGTAATATCACCAGGCTTCCCCGTCTCTTTTCAAGCTAGCACGCAGCTTTGCCCTGAGATCTTTACGTCTCTATGTTCACTTCCAACTGGAATGCGTCGGCGAATATTTCTTTCCAGCAACTGCGCTGAGATCCAATTTCAGGGTGGTAATTTAAATTGTCGGATGAAGATATGTCTAGTGATAGTAATACCTAGCGAATATGCGACCACTGATCTTCAACTGTGTTCAGTGAGCGCTTACTTAGCCCGGATGCCAGTGTACTTTGATACGCGTTCAGAACACCTGGCTTCGTCAATTAGCTGGCGTTTACGCGCTCACAGCATGGTTGACGACCTCCGCCAAAACGCACACCCAGTTCTGCTCATCTTGTGCGTGATCGGATTCCACGCCCATGTTCCTACTTAGGTGACAGTTTCGAAAACGCCTTTCAGCTGGATTACAATCCGAAAAGCTGAATATATAAAAATAAATAACAAGGATTTATACTCGGAAATGCGAAAGCATTCAAATTGAGCTGCGTCGATAACATAGCGTTCAAGTCGTGAGTAGTACTTACATTTTTCCTTTCAGTTCGTTTTTTAAGTCATGTTTCAGTGCAACAGATAGTGGAATTACGCTGTAATTTGATCCACTTTTGAATACAACTGCTCCGTTGGTAACTTTTGATTTTTTGATTTTTTTAGTTCTTGCTTTTCCATATCTATTGTTTTGCTAGTTTATATGCTGTTGCATATTTCTTATTCAGCGCTATCGATCTGTTCTAGTTCACCTGAGTAATGCCTCGCATAAATCAAGCTCAGGCAGTCGTACTCGCGCAGCAGAATAAATGCGACGAGCACTAGCAAATCAAACTGAGGAAAACAGACAGAGAATGACTCAGATATGTGCGGTGCGAGGTGCCGCCAGACTCCAGGATTCAAGATTACGAAAAGGATCACGTTCTGTAGCTTCAGTTGTGTTTCCTTCTCAACGGAATGAACGCGACAGACTGACAGTGGATGATAGTCGTCAAGGAGAAACAGCAGTTCAGTGTCAAACACGACCACGGGCACAGTAATCGCACAATTACAATAGCCTTGCATTCCGGTACAACCCAGCTGAGTATTATGGTTTGAGTCAGCATGGTCTCATTGGCACCATGACTGAAGTGTGTCCGTATTGCAAGCCGCTGAAGTTTACTGGAGAAACGAAAGGAATGTGTAGCGCTGAAGGAAAAATTAAACTGCCTCAAATGGGAGAACTGCTAGAGCCATTGAAAACTTCATTTGCCGGAGATACCGCGGAATCAAAGCATTTGCTCTCTAACATCAGGAAGTACAACGTAAGCTTCAAAAAAAACGTCTTTCGGTACGGAAATCGTAACAGCTCCAATCGTGCCCACTTTCAAAGTAAAAGAACAGATTTAGTAAAAATCCGCATGCCTGCTTCCCTTTTTAGATGAACAACATAAATTCCTACAAATGCACTTCATCGGTGACCCCAATGATGAATTGAATGCATGTTGCGGAATTTCCACCGGCATGAAAAGGGTCCATCGTTTCCCAAATGCAAAGCTTCTTCGCCAAAAAAGTTAGTGCTGTTGTTCGAAACAGCTATTGACATGATGACATCTGACACACACAAAATTGTTATTCATGTTGACAAAACGTCAACTGGAGAACATGTACGAACATGTGCTTCAACTATAGACGAAGTTGCCAGCGTTATAGTCGGAGATCAATTCCAACCGAAAGATATTGTTCTTCATCGGAGAAACGATCAGCTGATAAAAGTTGCCGAAAGTCATAGATGCTCAGCAATGTCCTATCATTTTTCGTGATGGCGTTGATGGATATCACTTCAACGTCAAAATGATAAATCCAGTCAGTGACGAAGAAACCCACAAGAAATGCAGCGCAATGCACTTTTATTCATACCGATTAATGATTCGAGAGAATGAAGACAAACACATTTTGAAATGTCATCAATTGTTTCAACAATACATCGTCGCTATGTACACAATCGAAACAGAACGTTTGTTATTCATCCGCTTGAATCAGACCGAGCTTCGCTCTGAAGAATACGGTCATTTGAAAGATGCAGTTTTGAATGACGGCAGTGCAGCTGATGTTGCAACACTGACAC